GCTAGGAATCAGACCTGGGTCCTCTACAAGAACAGCCAGTGCTCTTAACTGCTGGGACAGCTCCCTAGTTAGTTCCCAGTTTATATTTCATATATTATGGACCTACAACTGCTGCTTGATTGGATTTGCAATTTTGGCTGATATTCCTAAGCTCAATTAATTAAAAATGATTATAGGAATTGTGGTTTTCATGATTGCGTAGACATCTACTTTAAAGTAAAAATTATGATGTCACATAACTAATGGTTATTGTGAAAAGGCTGACAGTTTACTAGATTTTTGAGTCAGCACAGCAGTGAAATACCTGAAACTGAGAATTGCATGAAGTATTCTGTTTTTTTCTTTTTCTTTTCTTTTTTTTGAGATTGGATCTCATGAAGCCCAGCTGGCCTCAAACTTGCTATGTGTATGAGGACAACCTTGAACTGATCTGCCTCCCTTTACCTTCCCAGTGCTAGGATTATAGACATCTACCACCCCACCTGGTTTATGCACACTGGGGATTAAATCCAGGGCCTTGTGCATGCCAGGCAGGCACTCTACCAGCTCAGCTATATCTTACCCAGACCTTGAGAGGTCTTTTCCATTAAAAATTACTTTTTATAGTACTATTCTCATTTCTAACTTTAATTCATTTAATAAATATTTGAGGGAGCTGGAGAGATGACTTAAGTGGTTAAGAGCACTGGCTGTTCTTCCAGAGGACCTGGGTTCAATTACCAGCACTCACATAGTGGCTAACAACTGTCTATAACTCCAGTTCCAGGGGATCCAATACCCTCTTCTGGTCTCTGGACATTGCACACACAGGTGCACTTACATACAGGCAAACACTCATACACATAAATATTTGAGGGCCTTTGTGTTCCACCTACTGTTTTAAGTACTAAAAATATAGCTGTGACCTCCCCTTAGAGAGCAGGCATGCAGGGGTCCATCTAATAAAGTATTAAGTACCACGCCAAAAAGGATCAGAGTATTTTGACGGGGGGAGGGCATGATATTAGGTAAAGACTCTTTCAAGAGCTGTTGTGGGTGGAGACAGCTGGTGAAAGGTTGTTTTGCCTGTTTCCAGGGCTTTCGACTTCCCAAGTGAAAGGAATAAGAAATTCAGAAGTTGGGGCTGGAGAGATAGTGCAGCGGTTAAGAACACTGACTGTTCTTGCAGAAGACCCGGGTTCGAATCCCAGCACCCATATGGCAGCTAACAACTGTCCGTAACTCCAGTTCCAGGGGATCCAACCGTCTCTTCTGTCCTCCACCGGGTGTACTTACCTACATGTAGGCAATAAATGCATACACATAAAATAAAAATAATAAAATATTTAAAAAAAAAAAGAAATTCAGAAGCCCTGAGGTGTGAAGGCTGGCATGGTTTGTGTGTGTGTATGTGTGGTGGTGGTGGTGGGGGTGGTTGTTGATATTGGTGATCCTTTTTTTTTTCCAAGACAGTGTGTTGCTAAAATTCCTTTGGGGGCCATTCTTGGTCCCAATGACAAACCAATATATGATTTTGACTGCAGTTTGGGAAAATCAGTTACTTTACTGCACTTACTTACGGTGGGTGGGGGTTTACTTACAGGAGTGTGAGTGCTCCCCTCAACCCCCAAGGCCACATTGGAAAGTCTTCACCCAAACCTGGATGGTGGCCACCCCTAAACTTCATGTCTTCTTCCTTAGTTGGGGGGAGGGATATAAAAATAAAGATCTAAGGAAATAAAGTAACATCATGGGGACCTGAAGCTAGAGATAGGAATGAGTTGGGGTTTAGGCTAGGCTCCAGAGCAGGGATGGTGGTGACTGGACAGTATGCCAGTTGAAGGCTGTGGGATCATCTCATTGTTCTCCCTTACACAAATTAAACAGACTGATATAATATCTAAAAGGAAGTGGATCATGTACAAATGAAAATAAAAATTCCAGTGAGACTTGGTGCCACACATCTTTAATTCTGGCACTGAGAGACAGAAGCAGGCAGATCTCTCTGTAAGTTCAAGCCAGCCTGGTCTGCATAATGAATTCCAGGCCAACCAGGGCTACATAGTAAGTTCTTGTTTGAGGAAAAAAAAAAAACGAACAAAAAACCCCTCCCCCCTCAAAGAAATCCCCCAGAGTCCAGAAACTAATTTTTTTGTTTGTCTTTTTCATCCATGCATATGGCCCTACTTCCACCTGCCACATACATGCTGATATAATTTATTTAATTCCCTAGTGTTGAGTATTTATTCTTAACTCTAAGTTTCCAAGAATATGAACCATACTGAAGTGAATATGCTATGTACATCTGTACCAACTTGTCTTCTTTAGGATGAACTCATAGAGTGGACATGCCAAGTCAGTCCTAAGTCTTCCAAGTCTTCAAAATTTTAGTAGTTGTTACCATATTCTCCTCTAGGAAGGTTGTACCTAGACTCTGATAGTAATTACTACATTGTAATCTTGAGTATGTCTCTTGAGTCTGTTTTCCTTAACTTTGAGTTAAGGTTACAGTTATCCCCCTACATCTGCTGGGACTTTCATTCCAATATTCCTGCAACCCCATACCCAGATTTGCATTTGCTCAAGTGCCTTGTATAGAATAGGAAGGATTTGCATAGGAGCTACCCACATCTCAATATGCTGTAAGTCATCTCCATCCAGATAACTCATAATACCTAATCCAATGTAAATGCTATGCGGATAGCTCTTACACTGTTTTGTTTAGGGACTAGTGACAAGAAAAAAGTCTGCACATGTTCAGTGTACACACATACTTACATAGTAATATTCTTGACCCATGATTAGTTGAGTCCACAGATATGGTACCTACAGATATGGCAGAGGTCTGGTTGCAGTGAGTACTCAGTTTCCTTTACTGATTTGAGAGGGTTTAGCAGGTAGTGGGTATTCAGGCAGAAAGTTCTGGTTGAAAACAAGAGGTTAGATTATATTTTCTTTAATTATAGGCTATTTCACCTCTGACTAAATGATTTTGTGTGTCAGTTATATGTGAGTCAGAGCGGCTTAGTTCTGTTTTCTGGCTCTGACACACAAAAGCTGTGTTAGAAGCTGTGTGGGGGGCTAGAGAGATAGATGGCTCATGTAGAGGACTTAGGTTCAGTTCCCAGCATCAAAATGGCAGCGTTCTAGGGGATCCAACACCCTCTCCTGGCCTCTGCAGACATTGCATGACGTAGGTGCCCTTAAATACATGTAGGCAAAACACTCATACACACAAAAAATAAAATAAATAAATAAAACATTTGAGGCTGGAGAGATGACTCAGCAGTTAAGAGCACTGACTGCTCTTACAAAGGACCTGGATTCAATTCCTAGCACCCACATGGCGGCGGCTAACAATCTTCCTTAACTCTAGTTCCAGGGGACCTGATGCCCTCTTCTGGTCTCTGTGGGCATTGCATGACACGTATGCACTTTCTTGCAGGCAAAACACAGATAACAGATAAAATTAAGTAAGCTGTGTATGAGAATTTTTCTCAACCTTCAATTCCTACCTAGGGTGTAACTGTAAGGCTTATGGTGGATAACAGGTAGGATGTATGCATGCTCTTACACTGTCTCCTGATAGTAGGCTTATAGTAAGTTAGAGCTGATGGTAAAGGAATGAGTTTCTGAAAGAAAGCTTGAAGGGTAGGAGTCTTTGTCAGTCTCATAGTTTCTAAAGGAGGAAAACCTTTCGCTCTGGCAGGTTGCTGACTTTAAGCCAGCGTAGGGACATTCTTAGTCCTCATGCCTGAGACAGTTATATAACTGCTATGTTGCCTAATTAAAACATTTGATTATGTTGGGTTAAGTGACTGTTTATTAGCTCTGTTTCTGCACCCAAACTGAACTCTGAATGTTATAGTGGAAAATCCATGAACTTTAAACAGATACAAAATCTGGTCATTTACCTGTTCCCTGGGATTCTTGGACAAATAGGATAATTTCTGTTTAAAGAGAGAGAGTAAGTGGAGGAAGAGATTAAAAACCTTTGAGGGTCTCACACAAATGAAATTAGATAGTTTATGTGTATATTTTATAAAAAAATATATGGTGTCTACCACACATCTAAGAATATAAGTTTTCCTCTTTTGGAGGCAGACGCCCCCACCCCCCACTCCCCTGGGGGGGGCATCAGAATCTACAGTATATTGCCCATAGAGGGGATTATGCACTTAGTATACTGTGATCAAAAAAGAGAAATAAGGGCTGGAGAGATGGCGAGATGGCTCAACAGTTAAGAGCACTGGCTGCTCTTAAGAGGTTCAGTTCAGTTCCTAGCACCCACATGGCTGCTTCCAACTGTCTGTAACTCGAGTTCTGGGGTATTTGACACCCTCTTGTGGGCTCTGTGGGCATCATCTGCACATGGTACACTCAGGTACACGCAGGCAAAACACTCATACACATATAATAACTTTTTTTTTTTTTGTCTTTTTGAGACAGGGTCTCCCTGTAGCCCCAGCTGGCCTGGAACTCACTCTGTAGTCCATGCTGACCTCAGATATCCGCCTGCCTCTGCCTTCCAGGTGCTGGGATTAAAGGCATATGCCACCATGCCCGGCAAAAATAATTTAAAAAAAAAAATGAAAAAGCATTGGACAATAAGTCAAGAGGCCTGAGCTCATGTTCGAGGTTGGCTTTTTGACTTTTGGTCTCCTTTTCCCTCATTTTACTTGCCTAAGAAATATTTTATGGAAATATACCATTATAGAAGGTTTTCTTTTTCCCCCCTATCTGATTAACTTGTACCTGAACTGCAAAAATCCATACACTGTTTTCACAACTACTTTTTTTTGTCTTTTTTGAGACAGGGTCTCCTTGTAGCCCCAGCTGTCCTGGAACTCACTATGTAGACCAGGCTGGCCTTGAACTCACAGAGATCAGCCTGCCTCTGCCTCCCAAGTGCTGGTAATAAAGGCATGTGCCACCACCCCCGGCCCACAACTATTTTTTATTTACATTGTGTTCCCAGGTTAAGTACTTTTGTTCTAGGTTTATATTTATTTGTCTTTCAGGTTTAAATATTATTTAAACTGCATCCATGGAGCACATACAGGGAGCTTGGAAGACGATCAGCAATGGTTTTGGACTCAAAGATGCGGTATTTGATGGCTCCAGCTGTATCTCCCCTACAATTGTTCAGCAGTTTGGCTATCAGCGTCGGGCCTCAGATGATGGCAAACTCACAGATTCCTCGAAGACAAGCAACACTATCCGTGTTTTCTTGCCGAATAAGCAAAGAACTGTGGTATGTGCATTTTCCTCATAGAAAATGTAGTTGTTCTGTATGTAGAAAACATGGGTTGTTGTCCAGTTTATAGACTGGCAAAGTCTCACTGTCACAGGGTCTTTTTAATCTTTCCAGTGCAGATTTTATTTTATTATATTGCTGTTGCATTTGCACTCCCTCCTCTGTCCCACCACTATCCTTTCTGTTAATACCATTGCTCTTTCTGTCTCATAATCCAGACAATGGTACATTTTTATGTGGTGGTGGTAAGGTGGTGAGGGTGGTATCTCTAAGACTGCTCTTTTAATATTTTTTATTGCATTTTATTAAGTGTGTGTGTGTGTGTGTGTGTGTGTGTGTGTGTGTGTATGTGTGTATGCATGTATGTATACAGATATATTTGGGTGTCTGTGTGGGTTTGTATTTGGGTGTGTGTGCATGCATGTGCCACAGCATAATGTGGAGGTCACAGGACAACTTGCATTAATTGGTTCTCCTCTTCTACCATGTGGGTGCCAAGGATTGAACTCAGGCTGTCAGGCTTAGTGGCAGTTGCCTTTATCCACTGTGCCATTTTGCCAGCCATCTGAGCCTTTTCTTAGAGAAGTTTCTTTATTTTATGAACTAATTAAAGCTGATTTTAAGAAACCAAGGAAGTGGGGGTGGAGAGAGGGCTCAGCAGTTAAGAGCACTGACTGCTCTTGCAGAGGGCCTGGGTTTGATTCCCAGCACCCACATGGCGGCTACGAACCGTCCTTAACTCCAGTTCCAGGGGAATCCGAAGCCCACTTCTGATGTCTGCAGCATTGCACAACACGAGTTGCACTCCCATACATGCAGGCAATACACTCATATACATAAAATAAAAATAATAAATAAAAAAAAGAAAGAAACAAAGAAGACCTACTGGGTGTGGTGGCACATACCTTTTAACCCCAGCATTTGGGGGGTAGAAGCAGACCAATCTCTATGAATTTGAGGCCAGATTGATTTATATAATGAGTTGTAGGCCAGCTGGAGCTACAGGGAGATCCTGATTTTTTTTTTTTTTTTTTTTCTTTTTTAGACAGGGTCTACCTGTAGCCTCAGCTGGCCTGGAACTTACTATGTAGACCAGGCTGGCCTTGAACTCACAGAAATCCGCCTGCCTCTGCCTCCTGAGTACTGGGATTAAAGGTGTGTGCCACCATACCATATTTACTTAATTTTTTGACTATCACAAATACAAAGAAAATAAAACCTCTAGGTTATTTTACTTTAGAAAGTTTTATTTTGGTGTATTTCGTAGGCTCAGGACAAATCTGCAGGCAGCTCAAGAACTCCACATCTTGTCTTTCTCCGGGCATCAGATATTTTTGCATTTCTTTTCCTGGAACCAGTGAGAGGCTCATGTTGGCTTTGTGGTAGGTTGTTGTTACTGGGTTTTCAAACACAAAACCCTAGTTTATCTAAGAACCTCCCACTCAAAAGTTTTCTACTAGTCTGGAACTAAAAACTAAAGCAAACAAAAAACCTTCTGGGCTGAAATGGAAAAGTAAGATTGCATTGCTTTTATTTATTTATTGTTTGATTGTTATTTTATGTATATGTCTGTTTTGCCTGCATGGATATAAGTGCATCATGTGTGTGCAGTGCCTGTGGAGACCATCAGAGTATTTGGGATCCCCTGGAGCTGGAGTTCCAAATGGATGTTAGCCCCCATGTGGATATTGGGAACCTGGGTCCTTTGCAACAGCAGCCAGTGCCCTTAACCACTGAGCCATGTCTCCAGTCCTGATTGTATTGATTTCTGTTTGAATGGGACATTGTAAAAACCTTAATTTTGAATGGTTCCATATCTCCTTTCCCCTTCATTCTTTGTAGAAATGCTATATGTTGTGTTTATTCTGTTAGCATGAGAAGCGAGGCTCTAAGGTTGGGAAGTCCAGCCTAGAGTGTTTTTGATTTTCTTCTGATCTTCTGATAGTTCCCCCTCTCCAAATTTGCTAATAAATTTTTTCATATTTCATTTGTGAGCCTAAGAAACTTCCCATTTGTTATGTTGGATTCTCAAGAGAAATTTTTGAACTGAGGGTAAGACTCAAAAGTACAACTCATTTCATAAGAGTCCATATGCATAGCTAAAGGCTACATAACAAGCAACAATGCCAGACAGGCGATACCTTCTTTTGAGTTGTTGGCCAGGGTGGCCAAAGGGACTCCCAGATAGTAACCCAGCATAGAACTGGGAAATTGAACAGCAGACCCCAATCTTATCCAAAGGAATGTTGACAACTGATTACTGCTAGATGAGGAACAGCTGACCCTCCTAAAACAAAGACCTCTAGATAGGCTGACTAGATTCACCAGAAGGGGAAGTAGTGGGGAATGGCTGGGGGTGCCGACAACACAGCAGACAGTAGCAGGGATATCAGAGTATAAGGGCTCTAGTGAGGGGAGGGATGCTATGGGAGGGTGCTATCTGGGAAGTGGGTGTAAAAAAAAAATACAACTCAAGTGTGAATAAATTTATTTTTGTTCCCCTCCTAAAAAATAAAATTTGTCAATTTATGGCAGTCAAAATAAAGTTGAGCCTGGTGGTGCAGATCTGTAATTTTGGTACTTGGGAGCCTGAGGTGGAGTGATCTTAAGTTCAGGGCTTGTCTGGGCTGCAGAATGATTTCAGTGCCAGCCTGGCAACTTAATGAGATCTTGCCTCAAAACAAAGAGGAGGAATTAAAAAAAAGGGGTGTACTGTTTAAAAAAAAAGGGGGGGGTGGAGTTTTTGAGATCGAGCTCAGAGGTAGAGTACTTCTAGCATACAAGAAGCCCTAGGTTTAATCCCCAGTACCACTAAAACAAAGAACCCCAAATAATAAGTCTTTCGTATCTTTTTGGACAGTGGTCTTTATGGAAGGTGGTTTTTTTCTTTTTCTTTTTTTAACCTAGTTTTTCCTCATTAGCTTCTACTCAACGTGAGAGATCAAGTAGGAATTGTGGGTATCAGGGGATCTGAAGGTACCTGATGTCTCTGGGAGTTACTCGTAGACTTTCTTCTCCATTTTCTTCTACTGCCAGTTTGGCTAAAAGACTGGGAAACTTAATTGGAACATTGGTTAGGAGTATGGACTTGGAATAGTCAGCCACAAATAGAAATCCCTGAGTTGCCTTTTATTAGCTGTTATCATCTAAACAGGGTATATGGAATTTTGAGTCTCTTTCCTGACTTTATGACCTGAGGATCATGCTTATTAGTAGACTAGTTGATTCTTCAGTGCAGTAGCAGCTATCATTATTTCTGAATCTGTTAATTAATATTGCTAGCCTTCACTGGAGCGTAGCAGGTGGTTGGGAGTCAGTAAGAAGCGTGCCATCTCCTGAGAAGCTGGCAGCAGAGGTTAGTTTTGTCTATTTCTTTGGCCAAAGATGGCCTGTTTATCTTTGGGAAAACCAACTTTTTTTTACCAGGCATCAGGCTGGGAGAGGTTGTAGTAGAAGGAAATGTCCTTTGGCTGGCAGCACCATCAGAAAGCTGGCACTCTGTCCTCAAAACTCAGTGAGCTCCAGATACTATGTAACTGATTTCCTTGTTTATCCATGGGGGTAGTAGATAGGAGAAACAGACCAAAGATGTGTGTCTGATGGAAATGATTTTAGAAGAACAATGTATAGTCTTATTTTTTTTCAAGATTTCTCTTTATGTGTATGGATGTGGGGAGGTGGGACGGGTGCATGCACATGAGTGTGCCTGTGAAGATCAGAAAAGCATTTCAAATTACCCTGGAGCTGGAGATATAAGTGATCGTGAGCTGCCATGTGGGTGCCAGAACTGAGTTCTCATTTTATGCAGGAGCAGCAACCCCTGATGGCGTAACCCCTGAGCCATCTTTCCAGTCCCATGAGTAGTCTTTTAATGTTCCCTGTCATATTTTGTTCTCTAAACTTGCTTGTCCTTTTGGCCTGCTGCTGCTGCTTCTCCTCACTGTTATTGGATGAGCAAGTGGCCAGGGCTGAGAACCGCAACTCTTTAAAACCACCTGACAAGAATGTTTAAACACAGGTTCCTGGGCTTTATTCCAAAGTTAAGGAACTTGAGAGTCTTTGAATGTGTTGGAATAGGGAGGCTAGGAATCTGTATTTTCACAAGCTCCTTGGATGATTTTGATGCCACCTATATATGGAATCTTAATGGAGTAGAGGATAAAGAGCGGTTTAGCTCTTAGAGTTTGTGATTCTAATGAAGACGAATAATAAATATAACCCACACATCACTTTACACTTTAGGGCTCCACAGCATTAGCTACAGGTCTTGCATCTTTCAGTGAGAGTACGGAGCACTCCTGGTTTGTCCTCTTGCTTAGTGTCTTGTCTTGTAGTTGAGATCAGTGTGAGTATATCTGGCTTGTTTTGCTGGACATTAATAAGATGTGCTAAGGGTGTCAATGCTTCAAGATAACCTTGAAAATGAACTTATTATGGAACATTTAAAAAATAATCTGAAAGTGGGGCTGGAGAGATGGTTCAGCAGTTAAGAGCACTGGCTGCTCTTACAGAGGACCCAAATTCAATTCCCAGCACCCACATGGCAGCTGACAAACATATGTAACTCCAGTTCCAGGAAATCCAACACCCTCTTCTGACCTCCACAAACACTGCACAACATGGGCACACTTACATGCATGCAGGCAATACAGGCCTACACATAAAATAAAAAAATAAATATCTGAAAGATTAAAGTAATAATTCTGATGTTCACTTAACTATCATGGTAGTTCTGTTTATGTTTCCACCCACGCTTTTCCATTTGTTTTGACACAAATTCCAGGTAACATTTGTTTGAACTAGTTTGGTATGTACAAGAAACTCTTAACTCTTTAGCCCTTGTTAGCCTTAAACTTTCAGCAGTCCTCCTGCTTGAGTCTCTTGCATGTTGAGAATATAGATGTGAGCTGCTGTGCCACCTATAAGAAACTTTAAAAATGTTAATTGTATTTATTATTTTTTTAAAAAAAATAGGTAATGTCAGTCAAAAGTATCACTTTCCCTTATCCCTGTCTAGTTTTTTTTTTTTTTTTTTTGCCCCCTGAGGATTCCTATGGTAAAGAAACTTTTATGTACTTGGAGAATCAGTTGGACATCGCATCAGCAGCCAGGGAGGCTGTCCCACACTCTAAAGGAGGTCTTGTAATTTAGAAAAACCATTTTCTTTCCTCCTACATTATTGATCCTTCAGGAGAATGTTCTTCCCTGACCTCTGTCATCACTGAATTTATCTCTTCTATGTGTTCAGATTTTTCTTTATCTTTCTCTTTAATGTGGAACCTATCTTTATTTCTCAAAGATTACTGGGCAACTAAATCCCTGTTACTGGCAGGTAATAGCAAAAGTAAGCCATGAAGGGAAAAATGCACTTTTTAAAATTCTTAAGTTCCCTTTTCTTCCTTCCGACTAAGTTTATTTCTACTTTGCATCCAAGTACTGTGCTTCTTAAAACTTGTCTCTGTCCCAAGCCAGTTAGAGGAAGATTGACTGGAAGGCACTGAGATGGCCTCTGGCAAGGCTATGAGGTCAGGCAGAGGAGGACTTCAAGTAGGCAGCTCACAGGTACTTCAGCCTTCTACTCTCCTTGATGGCTCTACTGACTCTTCTCACCTTGTTTTAATTGTTTTATCTTTGAACCTGAAATATGGAGGGCTTTCTCTATAAATTCTTTTAAGATTTTGACATTTTAATACCATGGGTACAGATACTTGCCATGGGGCCTCCGAGTACCCACCTAGCTTTTGTAGATTGGGGATGGGGATGGGGAGGGGCACATACTGCCCAGGCCATCTGGTGTGGGGTGTACATGCACACATTGAAGTTGGGATTTATTACTGGAGCAAAGTAGAAGCCTCTGCCTCCACTTCCTGCTTGCCCTCATTACTTTGCTGTACAAGTGATACAGAACTTGTGTTAAGACCAGCTATCCATTTTGTTGGAAGTAGTCAAGTTTTTACTATAAAGGCTCATCTCATGTTTCTTTATAAATCATAATGGCTTATTTTCCCTTCTGGTGGATGTTCATGCTTATATGCACACTTGAAAAATCCAACAAATTAGAGGTATGATATGGGAAAGTATCATTTGTTCCTTCCCAAACACCATACATGGCACCTTGGTGCTCTTGTGGAGGTCAGAGGAAGAGAACTTGGAGTCAGCTGTCCCCTTCCACCATATGTCTCCCAGGGATTCAGGCTTGCTGAATTGTCCCATTGGCTCCCAAACACCACCTCTGATGTTTAATGGCAAGGTGTGTATCTTTCCAGTTCATATAACATGTATAAACACAGATGGGTTTCCCTGCCTTTTAAATCATCTTACTTTTTGTATTCTGCAAGATATTTTTCTGCCATGGGCTACTCTCCCTCCAGGTAATTAATTATGAAGTAATACATTCAATGCAAGTGACAGATGCTGATATTCCATGTTGCATTCAGATGTACTTACTGTTGGCATTCAGCTTGTTTGCTCTGTCTTCTCTGTTGCAAACAATGCTGTCATAAATCTGCATATAGTTTTACAGATTGATGTGTTTATTTCAATATTCGCCTTCCCAAGGGGTGCTGTAGCCTGAGCTGGCCCTCAAGGTGATCTTTTGTTTGTAGGTCAATGTGCGGAATGGAATGAGCTTACATGACTGCCTTATGAAAGCTCTCAAGGTGAGAGGCTTACAGCCGGAGTGCTGTGCAGTGTTCAGACTTCTCCAGGAGCACAAAGGGTAAGAACTTGTTCCATTAAAAATAGTATGTTGGCTTCCTGGGGAATAAATAGTGTGCGTTGTATACTTTTGTTTTTAAAGCAACAATTTGAAAAAATATGCTATTAAGATCTTGAAATTATTGCCTGAATATTCTCCTGAAAAATACAGTGCATAGTAGTTGATGATAGTGTTTCCATGGATGGGAATGGGAACAGTAATGTTAGAAATATAGTGGTATGTTCTTGAGAGCAAGTTTTCTTGGTGTTTGTCATATTATACAGAGTGGGTGCTCTGAAAATGTTCACATTATTTTTCATATTTAACAAAGCTGTCTTTTTGAGGCCAGAGAGATAGCTCAGCAGTTAAGCACTGGCTACTGTTGCATAAGACCTGAATTCGGTTCCCAGCACCCTCTTGGCAGCTAACAACCATCTGTGACTCTAGATCCAGGGCATCTGGCACCCTTTTCTGGTGGGCATTGTACACACGTGTGCATTTATATACATGCAGGAAAAACACTCATACACGGAAAATAAAAATAAATAAAAAATTCTGGGAGGGGGGAAATAGCTCATTAAGTATCATGCTTGCCATGTCATTGATTCCCAGAACCAACATAAAACTAGGTGTGGTAGTGCCCTTGCAATCCCAGCACTGGGGAGTTAAGAGCTGGGCAGAGCCTGCCGATCAGCCAGTCAACCCAGTAAGAAACCCTGCCTCAAAAAACAAGGTGGATGGAACCTGAGGAATGACACTTCTAGTTGTTACACACACACACACACACACACACACACACACACACACACACACACACACACACAAAACCTGTCCTAAAGAGAAATTCTTGTCATTCATGCTTCCCTCTACTTCTTTTGATTTTCTTTTCTTTTTGTGATACTGGAGATTGAACCTGGCACATGCTAAGTACTCAGTGTATTGCTGATTCAATTTGATAAGCATTAAATTCTGGTTTTCTTTTTGAGAAAACTTTTTTTTTTTTTTTTTTGAGGCAAGGTCTCCCTGTAGATCCAGCTGGCCTGGAACTCTCTATATAGACCAGGCTGGCCTTGATCTCACAGAGATCCACCTGCCTCTGCTTCCCAAGTATTGGGATAAAGGTGTGCACCCCCATGCCTGGCAAATGCTGGTTTTTTGAAAGATGCAGAGGAATTCCTCCAGGAAAACTTACCTTTTCCCAATAAAATAGAGGCATCCCCTCTGTCACAGGCTAGAATTAAGTGCTAGCCACAGAGCTGTACACGATTACTCACCATCTGTTATTTCAGTCAAACCTGGGGGCCACCTCTAAGAACAGTACTTCTGTTACTGGTTTGTGGTTCTGAGTTTCCCAGTTAGAGAGAACAGCCCAGGGAGTGATTCTACTTACAATATTTACATGTGTCTCTTCCTCAGAGTTTATTTAAGGGTAGTGTGTTGAAGTGCAAATCTTCCATCAGTTTTAACTAGATACAGCTCCAGGTTGGTCTCCAAGCCAATCCATAGACCTCCTTCAGGATAGGGAGATTCTGAGACAGGGATAGGCTTGGTGTGCTCTTCTCTAAAGCTGGACCAATTTGGAGTTGATCTCAGTTCTTTCCAAGACAGACAAGCTCCTATAGATTGCTCAGAAAGTAAGGCTTCCTTCTCTCTCATTAGGAGAAAGTAGTTCTTCAGAAGGACAGTTTCTCAGACCTTGCATAGAGAATTATCTTAAGGAATGAATTATTGCTTGTTGGGTAAGTAGAAGAGTGGCTTGCATAGCTTTGACAGGTGATAGGAGAAGTTTGGGTGATATATATGTGTGTCATCGGCAAATGGGACAGAGTAATTGGACAAAATGTGAGTTTTTATTGAAATCAGCAGTTTCTGTCTTTTTTGTTCTGGGCACAGAAAGAGTTGTCTCATTAAATTTTAGACAGCTGAATCTCCCATAGACTTGAACTTTTATTATTAGCAGCTACAAATAACTCTACAATTTGAGTCTGTTCTTAATGGAAAAAGGGCATTTGTGTTTCCATTCTGTTTATGTTCCTTTTAGATTGAAGTGGGCTGTTGAATTCTAAATTTTAGCACTGTAACGATTATAATTTCATAGGTTCTTCAGAGCTCTTTAGGCTTGTAATGTTACAAAGTCCCCTTTGAGATAGTTACCTTGAGATTGTCCTATTTCACTGTTGAAAGGAGCTTTATTCTAAGCTTAAATTTTGGAGTCTGACAGACCTGGATTCTAACCCAGGGGCTGCCACTCACTGTAAGCACAATGTGTGCACAGAGCCTCTTTGCTCATTTTTAGGATCATACCTACTTTTTCATGTTTGTATGGATTAAGAAAGATGTGCTTAGATAGCATGTAATAAACAGTAGATGTGTATATTGAACCTGATTGAACATTTCCCCTTCATATTACGCTTTTAAAATCTGTAGTAAAAAAGCACGCTTAGATTGGAATACTGATGCCGCCTCATTGATTGGAGAAGAACTTCAAGTAGATTTCCTGGATCATGTTCCTCTCACAACTCACAACTTTGTAAGTTTCAGCTCTCTTCTCTTTGTTCTATTTTGGGCTCTTCATGTTGCATGATAGGAACTTCTCAGAGAGAGTGGGCATGTGTGTCATTGAAGTTCTAGTTATGCCATTGTTTACCATGGGCAATTCAGATTTCATTAACCAGAGATACATCTAATTTCTATTTCTTTTACAGTGATGGAAGTGTGATTCTTCACTGTGTAAAGCTCTTTTGGGGGGCGGGGAGGGATCTAGTGAGGAAATCACCTTTGGTTATCTTTCACTTAGTATAATTTTACATCTGCATTCTTGTTACAGGCTCGGAAAACGTTCCTGAAGCTTGCATTCTGTGACATCTGTCAAAAGTTCCTGCTAAATGGATTTCGATGTCAGACCTGTGGCTACAAATTTCATGAGCACTGTAGCACCAAAGTACCCACTATGTGTGTGGATTGGAGTAATATCAGACAACTTTTGTAAGGCATTGTTTTGTTTCCTCCCAAAGAATGTTGGGGTTAGATTTAGAAAAAATTTTGAGGGTGCTCATTATACATTTTGATTAAGTCTGAATTTTAGGCATGTTAAATGATGGTTGTAAACCAGAAGCTATCTATTTTATAAACACAGTAGTTCTGAAACTAGCTAGTTTTACTGTGCCTAACTCTGTAAAATAAATGGGCAAGGGGCTGGGGAAATGACTCAGTTGGTAAAGTGCTTGCCATGCAAGCATGAGAGTCTGAGTTTGATCACCAGCACCCACATAAAAGCTGGGCATGGCACTTTGTGCCCATGATACCAGGTTGGGGTGGTGGAGACAGGACTCTCCCCTGAGGCTTGCTGACTAGCCAGTCTAGCTGGATTGTTGAGCTCCAGGTTCATTGGGGGAGCTTGTTTCAAAAAATAAGGTGCAGTGGCTAAATGGCTCAGTGGATAGGAGTTGGTTCTGCTCTTGCAGAAGACCCAGGTTCAGTTCCTAGTGTTCACGCCTGTACTCCAGTTTCAAGGGATTGGATGCCCTCTACTGGCTTCTCTGGGCACCTGCACAAACATGGTGCACATAAACTCATGCAGGTACACATTTTAAAAAATCCTTTAAACATATCACACACATACCGCAAAGGTGGAGAGTGGTTAAGACACACATTGACCTCTGAACTCCGTGCATGGGCAGGTACAAAAACTCATGCATGTACACACACAAATACTATGAGCATGTAGGACCCATTATTAAATTAATACTGATTTGTGGAGGAAAAGAACAAAGGGATATGGAAACTGAAGGGCTTGGTGTTCTCTTTGGTTTATTGTCTCTTTGCAGTAACATTGATGAGGTTGCTAATAGCCACGATTGTGTTTCGTTGACCCTGTTAAAGCTTTTGGTACTGAGAAAGAGAGAAGGCAGAGCTTATGCTGTTTTCTTCTCACACTGGGGACAACGTGTTTGGGCTCCACACAGTTTGAATGTAAAATTTTGATACTATTTCTGTTAGGAGACAAATCAGATGACAAAATATATTTCATAGAGACAAAATAAATATTTCAAGTTTAAATTAGAATAACACTTTCTAGAGAGCCTATTAAAACTTCTGTTGAGGGGCTAGAGAGATGGCTCAGTGGTTAAGAGCACTGGCTGCTCTTGCAGACAACCTGGATTTAATTCCCTGCACCCACATGGTGGCTAACAACTGTTCATAACTCCAGTTCCAGGGAATCCGATGACCCCAGGCCTTGCATCTGGCCTCTGCAGGCATTGCCCAACATGGGAATTCATACATACATGCAGACAATATACCCACATACATAAAATAAATTTAAAAAAATTTAAAAACTGTTGAGTATGAAAAGTCCGCTTTAACCTTTTTGAGGAATGCTAGAAAAGTGAGAGGAACACTGTCATTAAACCACAGTGGCAACAACTTTTTCTCACTTTTAGCTCTCACAGAAGTCACATGCTTTGAGGCCAGTACATACGTTTACAACCTCAGTGTTGTCATCGGCACCTCCAAGCTCTAGTTCACTTGTCTGAAAAAAAGGGTCTCATGAGGCTTTGCTTTGGATACCACGAGATTGCTGAGCACAAGTACTCAGTCTGCAGAGTGAAAGTGCCCAGTTAATAGTAATCCTATTTTTCCTTGTTTTTATGACTGTTGGTGCTGTGCATGATATTAGTCTTCTCATCCTTGTTTCCAAGAGAACATTTCCAAAAAGCAGTGCATTATAGAGTCTGTACAGTACAGTGTTGTACTGTTTCTTAAGAAAGCATTATTTTGCCAGGTGTGGTGGCGCATGCCTTTAATCCTAGCACTCGGGAGGCAGAAGCAGGCGGATCTCTGTGGGTTCAAGGCCAGCCTGGTCTACAGAGTGAGTTCCAGGACAGCTGGGGCTACAGCAAGACCCTGCCTCAAAAAAAAAAGAAAAGAAAGCATTATTTTGATATAGTTGGACAGAATTAGTCTTCTAGAGATGCATCCTAGCAGGATGTGTGCTCATTAGCAGGTTGCTGTCACCCGGTCTGTAATAGTCAAACCCAGCTGTTTGGGTTGGTAGTCTCTACTACAGGAAGGGGCAGTTCTGTGAGATCCTGACCAGCTTGGTCTTAATAGTGAATTCCAGGCCAGCTGGGGCTACAGGGAGATCCTGTCTCAAAACAAACAAAAAACAAAACAGTACTGAGGAAAATGAGCTGAAGGAAGTTGAGTTACAGCTGTGGGTTTGCAAGGCAAGGCAGGCCAATTCTCTGTAAAAGTACTGTGCAGCTGTGAACCAGCCTTTTCATGTTTCATTTAGGCTCTTTCCAAACTCTACTGTTGGTGATACTGGAGTCCCAGCACTACCTTCTTTGACAATGCGTCGGATGCGAGAATCTGTTCCCCGTATGCCTGCTAGGTAAATTTTTTACTTAGAGCTTTTCTTTTGGAAAGTTATCAGAATGGGTAGGGCTGGAAGCCTGAATACAAGAGTTCCTCTTCTTTCCCTCCCCTGTCTGTGCAGACCCTTTACTACTTCTGTAGAACACCAGAATACCATTTTGTTATAGCAAAATGTAGAAGTTTCTCTTTATGGTGCTCTTGTTACGTTTTGGAGAATGATTTTTGACTGTAGGCCCTTCTGTTATCATAACACATCACTTTCACTGCTAAAAACTCAGGGTTTTCTGCCTTCCTCTGGTTATAGTGAGTTAAGCCTCAATGGAAAGGGTTCTCAACTGAATATAGTGATTTAAAACAAATAATATCTTCAGCTCTAAAATGCTTCTTATGGCCTTGTGTTGCTAGCACCTTGGCATTAAAAAAATGGAATTAAATGGACAATAAATACCCTCTCTAATAGGCCTTTGAGTTTGAACTAACCTTGCCATCACTGTTTTTCCAGCTTTAAGAATAAAAGCTTGAGTACACATCTTACAAGAATTTAGATCCTAAAATAAAATCTACGTTTATGTCCAAAATAGCTTTTAATGTGTATGTAATCAGATAGCATTTAATGGCCCTTGTAAAACTACTGTGGATGTAGTTAAGCAGCATCTTGGAAGAAGGTTATTTGTATTGAAGTACATATTTGTGTCTGACTTAATTTTTTTTGATAATTTGAAAAGCATAGTTGAGCAAAAAACTCCTTACCTTTGAAGACTAGAAGAAACTAGACCCTGAAAGCATGAATACAGAATCACTTGGGGAAGGTGGTTGTTCAAGTGATAGAACCATGTCCCCTCAAGAACTAGTCTTCTGTAAGCCCTTACATTCATGCATGAATGTTTCCAGAACAGAGCTTTAGTTAAATCTTCAGAGCAAATATGTTATATTTTGTTTATTTGGAGTTGAGGTAGAATCCAGGGACTCACCTAGGCTGGGCTAGTGCTATAGTACCAAGCAACACCTCTAGCTGCAACAGTTAGGTTTTGCTTCATGGTTCAGACCCAGGGCGCCTCACACAGACTAAGCAAACAACCTACCACTGAGCTCTGTTCCAGCCCCAAGTTTAGTTAGTGGGAAAGTGGTAATGGCCAAAAGAAGCCAGTGAGTAATTTCACAGGTAAGTATTGCCAGTCTAAAGACCAAATCACACTGAGCTTTATATGTTGTTTCTACGGAGAGAAAATCCAAGTTAGTCTTTAAACTGGGAAAGTTCCAGTTAGCTTAGTAGGTGGTAGTTTTAGTAAATACCAATCTGTTCTTTGACAGAGATGCTGTTAAACTGTGAACATTATGTAGAGGTGATTTAATACAAAGGAGAAAATGCGTAATGTATCCTCCTTTCCCTGGGAATATAAACACATTTAGTTTTCCCTTTTCAAATATTTGCATGCAAAAGTACGTAGACAGAAGAGAGTTTTTAAGTGACACATATTGAAAGAGTGAAACATTTTGTCAAGGATTGTATGGGTCAAGTTTGCCCTTATGCATCTTAGCAATGTAGGTAGTTAAGAAAACTTTATACCAGTGTGGAGGCCTGAGTGCCAATCATGGAACTTTCTTTCTCCTCCGTGCCTAGTTCCCAGCACAGATACTCCACACCCCATGCCTTCACTTTCAACACCTCCAGTCCTTCTTCTGAAGGCTCCCTCTCCCAGAGGCAGAGGTCAACGTCCACTCCCAATGTCCACATGGTCAGCACCACCCTGCCTGTGGACAGCAGGATGATTGAGGTAATAGGGCCCCTTGGGGGTGGTGGCAAGTATCAGTGTTGATACTGGGAGGCACAGAGAGAGCTGTGGGTTCCAAGCTGCTTAGGAATGCTGCAGTATTTTCTCAAGTCCTTAGACTTGAAAATTGTCTTTTTTATCCATAACGTCTATAGATAATAAAACCTCCTGAAGAAATGTGAATAATTGAGCTCATGCTGTATCTCAGATTTGCATACTAATTCATTGAGCTAGAAGGGAGGATCTGTATAGAGCAGTTTCAGTTTGGTGTGGGATTTTGTGTGAACTACAAATGCTGTAGAAGACTTTTAAGTGATTTAATTCAGAAAAAGAAGGGAGGAGTCCCAGGATTTTAATAAACATTTAGGCAAATATGAAAGTGCCCAAAGTCAGTGTTTTGAAACTGCTTTTCTTTTCTTGTGTGTTCTGTTTGGTTTGCTTTCTAGCTTATCTTTAATAACAACTGAGTGCACTTCAAATACTTCCTTTGTTCTTTATTCTTCTTTATTTCTCATTGCTTTGGACTAGAATAACAGCCTGAATGCTTCTCCCAGGGCGTGGTCCAGACGATTTTGTTTGAGGGGAAGAGTAGGTATTTTTCTTCATGCCTTTGCTTTCTTGTGTTTAACAGGATTGCTAAGACTGTCAGACAGTAGACTAGAAAGTGAAACAATTGCTAAGTTAAATGTATGTTTCTAACCAGAACTGTTTACATGGTTTTTTTTTGGTTTGTTTGTTTTGTTTTGTTTCTTTGGTCTATAGAGTTGAAAAATACTGAGTGTGGTACACTGCTAGGCGAGTTTCTCAACGTAGATTTTTTTTAAGCCATTGACACAGCATCTGTATTGAGTTTGGATATTAGAAATCAAATATTTTATTTGTTAGAGCTGGAAAAAGCCTGTTAGAAACTTGTGCATGCTGGTGCCTGCCTATAATCCCAGCACTCTAGAAGGGCTTGTTCAAGGCCAGCCTGGGCTACAACAGTAAGATCCTATTTCAAAACAAACCCAAAAGAAAAAACCCCATGTTAACTGCTTTTTTTGCACTGTCAAAGAACTTGTTCCTTGACACCTGCCATTTCAGGTGCAGTTTGTCTCAAACTACAAATCACTTGACACATTTGTCCTGCCATGATTATGAGGAGACCATGTATGAACTATGAGCTTTATCATTGTGATCATTCCTAAAAATGTAATAGTAGTCATTTTCTTCCATTATATAATTAGTTCCTGTATAAGTACTATTAGTACATCAAAAATGAAAATAAATTCTATTTCTAACTTAGTTAGTACAACTGTTGTGTTTAAAGCTGACCATGTTGCCAGGCGTGGTGGTGCATGCCTTTAATCCTAGCACCTGGGAGGCAGAGGTAGGCGGGTCTCTGTGAGTTCAAGGTCAGCCTGATCTACATAGTGAGTTCCAGGACAGCTGGGGCTACAGGGAGACCCTGTCTCAAAAAGACAATAAAAAAAAAAAAAAAAAAAAAAAAAAAAAAAAAAAAGAAAGAAAAAAAAAGCTGACCGTGTCTTGGAAGAATTTTTTGATTCTTGGCCTTTTTTTCTTCTTTTTTAATATGATTCAGCATTTTGAATTGGACATTGTTGTTTGATTTAAACCAGTTATGTTCTCCTAAATTAATATTTAAATCTTGGACTATAGAAAAATTCTTCTGTGGATAAACTGATCCAACTATAAAAATTACCACCAAATAAAATATGTTATAGGGAGGGAAAAAATTGAACATTAAGAAAAATGTCCTTGTATACATGGGACTACAGTTCTAATTAATAAAAATACATCCTGCTATATTTTGACTCAAAACAGAAGAGATGAGCTGGACAATGAAGCTACAGCTGCTGACTGTTCTTTTGAAATCTAGGTTAATTTTGGCCAGTGTTTTGCCCCCCTGGCTGTCACCCTGTTGCACTTAATGTACAAACCTGCTGAGCATGACAGCGCATACCTTCAATGTAGTGCTAAGGAGGCTGAGGCAGTGGATCTGGGTTGGAGGCCAGCCAGGGGTACATAGTGAGACCCCCATCTCCAAAACAGAAACAGAAAAACCTAAGAGGATGAGGAGCTGTATTCTCATGTATGTCTGTATAGGCGTGTGAAGGCCAGAGGTTTTCAACTGCTCTTCTACCATATGTGTGTGGTTTTTTTTTTTTTTTTTTTTTTTGGTGTTTTTGAGACAGGGTCTCCCTGTAGCCCCAGCTGGCCTGGAACTCATTATGTAGACCAAGCTGGCCTCAAATTCACAGAGATCCGCCTGCCTCTGCCTCCCGAGTGCTGGGATTAAAAGCGTGCACCACTGTGCTCGCTCGGCTCTACCATGTATTTTGAGATAGGGTCTCTTTAAACATGGAAGTTGTTAATTAGGCTACGCTATCCAGGTTGTGAGCCCTCAGGATCCCACTTTCCCTGCCGCCTCAGTGCTGGGCTCACAGGCATATGCCACCAATCAGGGATCAAACTTGGGTCCTTGTGCTTGCATAGTAAGCATGTTGCCTATTGAGTCCTTTCCCTGTTCCAGAGGATCTGGATCTCAGGCACCTCTGCAGATGAATTACAGACAGTCTAGGCTTGGAAATCAGAAATAGGCTTTACTGACTGATAAGCTCTGAAGATGCTTGGGCAGAGTGGCCAAATGAGTGAGTGTAGAAGTAGCTTGGGTTTTGAGTCTTTTGCTTTTATAAAGATGTCATTGTAAGCCAGACTTGGTGGCATATTCCTTTAATTGCAGCACTATGGAGGCTGAGGCAGGAGATGGTAAGTTCAAGGCCAGTCTGGGCTACACAGTGAGACAAAACAAAGCAAGAAATTGAGTGGGAACATTCTAGTAATAGCTCTGTGGGACAGATATCTTGTCTAAGATGTAGTTATACAAAGGCAAATGCAGAAGACTTTCCAGAAAAAACACTTTCTTGAAGAGCTAAGGTCCAAGTCATTCCCTATAAATCCCACACTGAAGGAAAAATTTTAAAGTTAGGGTTTTAAAATGTCTCAACTGTTCTTGAAAGCATTGCTAATAGATTTGACCTGTCACATTAAGAGAATGTAGCTGGCCGTGCATGGTGGCACATACCTTTAATTTCACCACTCAGGAGGCAGAGGCAGGCTGATTCTTAGGAGAATCTAGCCTGGTCTATATAGTGAGTTCCAGGGTCCAGCAAGGACAACATAGTGAGATCTTGTTTCTTGGGGGCTGGGGAGGGCTAACTTTAAGAGCATACACACATTGTGTTTTGAAGTAACATTTTGTGCTAATTTTGTGCTAAAAGAGCTGAGGGTAAGATCCAAATGTGATGCTTCATTTCTACCACCCTCTGCTATGCAGCCCTGACCTGGTCTGTCTGTCCACAGGGAGTTTAAATATAAGATACAGGGTTTGGACTATGGGGTCCATGGTCTTTCCAGCTCCATGTGATTTTAGGCTTCAAGTATATAGTCATAGTGCTTAGCTGTGTCAAACCTGACTTCTGCACAATTTGTCCCTATTTCTAGTGGAGTCAGAATACACTTATCACTGAATCACTCCCCCCCCCCCCAGTCTCTCTCCCTCCTTCCCAGAGAGAGTGTGTCTCACATTAAGCCTCAGTAGAGCAGGAGCCTGAATCTTTGGGAAGATCCCAGATGACAGTAACTTTGCCAGGCCTTTCTCAAAAGTTTGTTTCTATGTGCCGCAACCTCCCCACTCCCCCAAATGGTAGGGTTTCTGTGAAAAGTAAGACTCATGTCATCTAATGGTATTGGCCTAGGACACTGGGTGAGCCAGGAAAATTTAGTGAAGTATGGAATTAGAGGTTTAATAATCTACTTTGTTCCTGCAAATCCCCCTTCTTTTTCCTCCCAGAGAGAAAACCTTTTCTAGTATATTTGACCAGCTTTCTTTTTCTGTTTCAGGATGCAATTCGAAGTCACAGTGAATCAGGTACTTTCTTCTATCATCAGCAAACAGTAATGGGCTTTTTCTTGATATACTGTATCTTTTGGCTTACCCACATGTGGATTCTGTTTGTCTTGTCTATTAAGCTTCACCTTCAGCCTTGTCCAGCAGCCCTAACAACCTGAGCCCAACAGGCTGGTCACAGCCCAAAACCCCTGTGCCAGCACAAAGAGAGAGGGCACCAGGATCTGGGACCCAGGAGAAAAACAAAATTGTGAGTATGGCCAGTAGTTCCTCCTCCCACTCAGGGCTCAGTAAGGAAAAATTCTTGTAAATTAGAATGTATTTAATGTTACTAGGATTTAATGAAATCCTAGTAAAATTTATTAAGGAGATTGTAAATGCCAGTGCCATTTGGCATGTTCACATCCAGCAGGTTGACTATTATAGCTAGCTAAACTGATGGCTCCAGAGGGAGCTGCTGGGGTGGGACTGACCCCTTGGATACTCTTGCTCTCTCAGAAGGCTGTTGCTATTTCCTGGGGTTTGTGAATGATCTCCACTCATTTCAGAGGCCTCGAGGACAGAGAGATTCAAGCTATTACTGGGAAATAGAAGCCAGTGAAGTGATGCTGTCCACTCGGATTGGGTCAGGCTCCTTCGGCACTGTGTATAAGGGCAAGTGGCATGGTGAGTTTGGGGCCTCCTTCTAGACAGGGCTCTGGTCAGGTCTCAGCAGAGGCTAGAGGGCCCCTTAGATAACTTTGGTTCACAGTGGCCCTCTCCATGGATACTTAGTCATGCCCGACAAATCTGAAATTTTACAGCATTCTTTTTGTCTCACAGTGCTGCTTTAATTGGTAGAAATAAAGTTTTCATGATATTTTGAAATTGATGAGCAAGATGTGAACATATAGTTAAGTCAGAGCTGCTGTTTCTTCTAAACTTAGCACAGCTTTGCCCCTGGGACATGCTTTGACACTTCTTAAATGAGCAGGTGTCTGCTGCTTTGGGGAAACCATGACTGCTAGGAACCTCAAGCTGGACCTTACAGATTTTGTATGTGAGAAAACTAAAGTCTCACAGGAGGAGCTAATATGCCCCTACTCAGAAAGTGGGGCATAGGAAAGCTAGGGACTTCCTGTAATAATGTCTCTCTGCTCTGCCTGAGCCTTAGGTATCCCTTCATGTGGAGTATTACTTCCATGGAAAAATTTGACTTGGAAGACTCTAGCCTCTGTAGCCATAGCTTTAATAGCTTGGCAACATCTCCACATCAGGTGTTTTTTTATGTGTATGAGTTGTTTATCTTGTATGTATGTATGTAAGTATATCATATGTGCAATGCAATGCCTGGAGAGGACAGAAGAGGGTGCCCCCCTCCCCCCAAATGAAGCTAAAGACAATTGTTAACTGCAGTGTAGGTTTAACAGCTGGATTTACGGTGTTAGCAAATGTAGGCAGGATCTTGAAAATGCTCCTCCAAAGTTCTAATGGTGTCCTTTATAGACAATAGGACAGAGAAAAGTGCCGAGCATCAGCCATATGGAGCATTGAAATGCACCATGTTGAGAATCACAGTTCAGCTTCTCTCATGCCCATTAACACATGGGTTTCTGCCACATCTAAGTCGTCATCTGAGCAGTTCTGTGGTTTTCCATGGGCACAAAACAAATCTGTAAATGACATGTAAGGTGATTCCTTTCATTTGAGCACTCTTAAGTGATACAACTGCTGACCTGCCTTTGGGTTGCAGTCTGTTTAGTACTGCAGTAAGGAACTCATCTTCCTGAAGAATCGAGGGACACTTGGCCTTGCCTCTGCCTTCCTTGAAATCAGTCCCATCCTGCTTTTAGGCTTTACCTTTGTAGGAGCCTGGGCTACCAGCCATTTTCCGGGCCTCACCACTCAGTTGATCTAGCCTCTTGCCTCTCTTGTCCTCGTGTTTCCCACCATAACCCTATTTCTGCCCCTTGCCAGGGCTATTGCAGCCAACTCTTTTCTGGCCCTCTTCTGTTCTCCAGGTGCTCAGCCACATGCCCATTTCCCCAATGAAGTCCCTCCACTTTTGTTTTTGGTGCACCCAGTTTAGAATATCCTCCCATGTACTGAAAGCCTTCCTAAGACTTACATTCCACCTCCAGGAAACATTTCTATACATTCCCCACTTCTGCACCGAGCTCCTGTCTTGGCTCAAACTGTATACAGGACTTCTGCTTTCATACTTGGCCATGTGGAACCTGAGGTTAGGCTCTAGGACAAGGTTCCCTGTGGCTTACCAGATCTACTCCCAGGACAGAAGATGCTCCAAATACTCCATCCAAAATGAGTAGCACCCTTCCGAGCAGTTACCAGGACTGCAGCTAAGCAGGGATGATAAACTGGGGCTCACAGAAACCAGATTGGGACATGTGTCTTTATACTAGTGCTACCCAGAAGTGTAATGAGTTCGCTGGCAGGCTGCTGCAGGACTGTACCTCTTGGGTAGAGGGATCAGCCACCTCTGGGTGCCCCTTACCTGACTCCTACTTTGATAACTGGCACCTTGGTTGATTCTTCTTTTTTTGACAGGGTCTTGGTATGCACCTAGCCTGGCCTCCTGCTTCAGTCTTTGGAGCAAGCAGCTTAATTCACTTGATAAAATCTGAGGTCTTTACAGGGCTTCAGATAATTTTATAAATATTTACATAAAACATCTGAAAGTGACTTCTAACTGTATCCCTGAAAATAGGTTTAGTCCTCGGTGTTTTTGAACCTGTGGGAAGCTGGCTGGACTGTCTGCCTGTCTGATGGCTAGTTGTCAGTACTGTAGGTAGAACTGCAGTGTGAATTCACTGTCCTTTCCTGACTCTAGTACAGCTTTTTTGTTGCGTGCCTTATATACATGACTGATCTCTGCTTCCTTTCTACAAAATGAGTTAAAGGGTGTTTAGACAAATGTACATACAGATGCAGTAAACATTTGTGTTCTCATTGCTTCTTAATAGTGTTGAAGGATCAGGTCAGGACCCACAGCTTACTGACAGGCCTACTTCCTCACTGTTTGTGCATAGTGACCACTTGCAGCCATGTGCTGATTTCATCCCCAAAGGCTAAGGCTCACCTTTGTGTCTCCCAGGGTTGGTTGGTGTGGATAGCAAGCTTGTCAAAGGCCTTGTGGAGCTACTTAAGTTCTTTGCCACTTGATGTGTAAGTTTGCAGATGTAATCTATCTGAGCAGACACACAATTCTTCGAAAAACAATTCACTAAGGTACTTGAGGCCAAACATAGTGACACACACCTTTAATCCCAGCACTCCAGAGGCAGATGCTGGCGGATCTTTGTGAGATCAAGGCCAGCCTGGTCTATATAGTGAGTTCCAGACCAGCTGGGGCCTTGAAAAACAGAACAAAAAGCAAGGTGATGGTTCCTAAGGAACAACACCTGGAGTTGACCTCTGCCCCCCCCCCCCACATATACATACACACACAGCATGTGTACGTTGACCTCTGGCACACACACAGAGCATAGAGCAACACCTGGAGTTGACCTCTGGCCTACACACAAACACACAAACACACACACACACACACACACACACACACACACACACAGAGCATGTATATCTGCATACATGAACATGCACATAAAGTATTTGTAAAATAAAGACCATTTAACTGAATGTACTGACCGAAAATTAATTTTCAGGAGATGTTGCAGTAAAGATTCTAAAGGTCGTTGACCCAACCCCAGAGCAGTTCCAGGCCTTCAGGAATGAGGTGGCTGTCCTGCGGTGAGTCCAGCCCCTAGAACAGCAGGGTTGGGTAAGAGGTAGTGCTGTGTAGGTCAGCACCCACTGTGTTTTGTGAGGGGTGCTTCTCTCAGCAAATTTGCTGGCCAAGCCTCTGGAAGAGCCCTTTTCCTATAGATACTGTCTCTGCACATAGTACTCAACAGTCCAGCTATCCTGGTCAGTGGTAGGGAAAGTTCTATTCCTACCTTTATTTCTAAGAACCTCTTTATAGCTAACATGCTCTGGATTTCAAAACCCTCAGCTTCCTAATCACTTGAGTCGCTAGATTGTAGGAATAAGTTGAAGAGGCGCATTGATTCCACAGATGAGGGTGTCCTCTAATCACACGTGGAGGTGAGCTAAGGGTGGGCTCCTGCTGATTGCAGGCAAGGGCTCATGGCTTTGCTCTTCTCCTTTCCCCAGCAAAACTCGGCATGTCAACATCCTATTATTTATGGGGTACATGACAAAGGACAACTTGGCAATTGTGACTCAGTGGTGTGAAGGTAGCAGTCTCTACAAACACCTGCATGTCCAGGAGACCAAATTCCAGATGTTCCAGTTAATTGACATTGCCCGGCAGACAGCTCAGGGAATGGAGTGAGTACATAGCCTGCTGACTACTTGATGCCTGAGTCTGGACTTGGCCCTTCTGGGAGCCTAGAAACACCTGCATAGGGTATCAAGCAGTGCTTGGGTGGGCTTTTCCTGGAGATCAACAGCATACATTCCTCATTAGCCAGGCTATCCACTTGGACTCAGGTTAAGGCTCCAGTCACCCCCTCTAAGAACAGGGGGCAGGAACTTTGTGCCTGAGCAGTAGGGGCCTTGTCGCTGGCTGCTTTGTCACTTTTTGGATTATTTTCTCTAAAAGTTCACCTTTAGTACCTCTTAAATCCTGAGCAGCATTGGGTGGTAATGTGAACTTTGTTTCACAAGCGCCTTGCGGTACAGGAATCCTCAGGCTCCAGATGGCCTTTGTTGGTACAAAAGCATGTTGTCTTAAAATTCATAGAGCATTGTTAATTTTTGGAAGCATTATTAAGGTGTAGTTCACATGCCCTGAGTTCATTCTTTGGGAAGTGTGTGCCTTAGCCATTTTCCTAGTGCATCTTCGAGGGCAACCAGCATTAGAAACTTTCACATTTCCATCCCCCAGATAAGCCCACACGGTAGCCCTCTCTGTACCTGATGGTGTTTCCCATCTCTGGGCTTTGTCTCTCATAGCAGCGGAATGTGATGTAACATGAGGTCTTAACACACCTAGCTTCATGTTTACAGAGCGAGCCCAAGTTGGAACACTGCATTTCTGTGGCACCTGATGGGCATCAGGGTTGTCAGGATTACTGTAGAGTAGAACTGATGCTTGAAGTGACACCCATTTGTTCTGTAGCCTCTCTAGAGGTTATGTGGATCAGGCTGGAAGATGGGCCATTGAGGGGCTGTAGTCTGGAACAGTTTTAACAGATTTATTTTCCATTGGCAGCTATTTGCATGCAAAGAACATCATCCACAGAGACATGAAGTCCAACAGTATCCTTTGTTATGTGTGTTCTCAGTATAGGGAGCCAGAAGTGCTTTTTAATCACATGGTTTTTGGTTCCAGGGGAAGAGACAAAACATTGAGTTAGTTCTTTGAGAAGCCAAGTCATAGGTCATGCTCACCTGGGCATGACTGATGTCCAGGAGAATTCCTTCTTCTTTCATACTTTAAAAAAAAATTTTTTTTAGACAGGGTCTCCCTGTTGCCCCAGCTGTCCAGGATTCATTATGGAGACCAGGCTGGCTTTGAACTCACAGAGATCCGCCTGCCTCTGCCTCCTGGGATTAAAGGTGTGTGCCACCACACCCGGCTAATACATTTTTTAAATTTATTTTTATTTTATGTGTATGAATGTATTGCCTGCATGTACGTGAATGCACCTGTGCGTTGCAATGCCACATAGGTCAGAAGAGGGCATCAGATTCCCCTAGAACTGGAGTTTACCGTTTGTAGCCGCCATGTGGGTGGCTGGGAATTGAACCCAGGTCCTCTACAAGAGCAGGCAGTGCTCTTAACTGCTGAGCCATCTCTTCCTCCTGCCCCCTTTCAGACTTTTTTTTTTTTAACCAACAGTGATCTGGAAGGAGTTCCAGAGTTAGGACATGTAACTAAGGCTGATTTTGGACTAGGCTTGGTTTTATTATACTATTCATTACCAAATTTAATTTGTGGATTATGTGTGGGTGTGTGTGTACAGGTGAGAAAGTAACCACAAGACAGATATTTCAAGATCTCTAAAAACTGCTAAATAATGTCCTTGAATGTACAGAAATGGCTCCTTAGTTAGAACACTGTTCTCCCTTTGAAGACCAAGTGTGCTTCTACACAAGGATGAGTAACAGCAGGTTACATGATGTAAGGCATGGCTTTTAGTCCACTTCCAGGAAGGAGGGTGGTGGCATCATACTCCAACAGTGCTGCTAGATTTAGGACATGGCCTATTTGAGGTGCTTGTCTGAAGCAGCGAACAGATACACCATAGTGCATTTTTGGCACCCAAGATACCAGTGAGCAGATTTAAGGTTTGAATTCCTGTAGACCAGCAGGTCACAAGTCAGATTGAAACTACCTAATTACCCAGACACAAACTGACCTTGAAGTCACAGGTGGACCAGTATTAGTGAGAAATTGCTTAAGACAACATTCAGTGGTAAGGCATTTACTGTACTGTTGCCCTCATGAGTGCAGTGCATAGGCAGAAGATACGGAAACAGCCACTACATTGTGCTGCACCTGGATGTGCACACACACCTGCTTTTGCTTAGGACAAATAATTGGTCACATGCCATCTTGGCAGGAGGGTCATTTAAGAACTTAATTCAGTAGAGAAGTAAAGGAAATGGAACACAGAAAAGGACTTTGGGAAGCTTTTTCAAAATGAATTGGACCAGTCTCTTCAAACCATAATCCTTAACATGCATTGAGATATATTCCTCCATGAAGGCCTCACGGTGAAAATTGGAGATTTTGGTTTGGCAACAGTGAAATCACGCTGGAGTGGTTCTCAGCAGGTTGAACAGCCCACCGGCTCCGTACTGTGGATGGTAAGGAAGCTGGCCCAACACACCTTCAGCAGAAGTACTGTCCCAGAGAAGTGTGCAAACCACCAGCATTTCTCTACAGCTTTGGGAGTCTAGGTAACCCCCAGTGTCAATCTCAGAGAGGTGGCAGAAGCCAGGACTTGCATTGCCTTAAGCCAGAGCCTGGGGGTTGTAGGTTGAGTGTTTGGGGAAGAGCTATCGCTGGCTGAGGACTGGACTTCCCTAACTAATGGGACAGCATGGCACCTGGAAGGCACTGGGGCCCCTTCTCTGGGAACTAACATACTTTGTCCTCAGGCCCCAGAAGTGATCAGGATGCAGGATAACAACCCATTCAGCTTCCAGTCTGATGTCTATTCCTATGGCATCGTGCTGTACGAGCTGATGACAGGGGAGCTTCCCTACTCTCACATCAACAACCGTGATCAGGTGATTTGTGCGGGGGTCTGGAGAAGGCGAGGGCTAGCACCCTTATGGTGTTTAACATCCATCTGCTCAACTGTTTCTTTCCTCAGATCATCTTCATGGTGGGTCGCGGGTATGCCTCCCCAGATCTTAGTAGGCTGTACAAGAACTGCCCTAAAGCAATGAAGAGGCTGGTGGCTGACTGTGTAAAGAAAGTAAAAGAAGAGAGGCCTCTGTTTCCCCAGGTAAGATGGAACTTGTGGGCTCAAACAGGACTTCGTCAAGAATTCCCAAGGATGCCAGTAAGACTGGCCAGGTTTAGTCCTATGAAGAAGGGACCTTTGTCCTGTTGTGATTGAAAGGAATGACTGGGACTAGATGGAGCCCCAACTAATTAGACTACATGGGGCCTCATTTCAGATTCTGTCTTCTATTGAGCTGCTCCAGCACTCTCTGCCGAAGATCAACCGGAGCGCCTCTGAGCCGTCCCTGCACCGGGCGGCCCATACTGAGGACATCAATGCTTGCACGCTGACCACATCCCCAAGGCTGCCTGTCTTCTAGCTGATGCACCTGTTCTCAGGCCACAGGGAGAGGAAGGAGAGTCAGCAGGCATTTTTCTGTTTCCTTTGGGAACAGAATGCATGTTTTCAGAGAAGCTGCTGCTAAGGACCTTCTAGACTACTCACAGGGCCTTAACTTCATGTTGCCTTCTTTTCTACCCTTTCTGGTCCTGGAAAAGGAAGTCATCCACCATGCTAGCCTGCCTTGCTCCAGTGCCCAGCCTGCTCAAGATTTGTAGAAGCCGGGCCCCCAGCTGTCAACTAATTTTTTTTTAAGGCAAGAAAAAGGCCTTGGAGGAAAGGGAGGCAGGGCACTCTAGCCTAGCCCTACTACAGGGACACATGCAGTTTTGGAAGTTGGCGTCTTTGAGGCGTATCTATTGGAGGGACACAGACAGTGGTGCAGTGCTAGTTTTGCACGTAAAGCACCAAACAGCCCAGGATTGCCAAGACCCTGGTCACCTGGAGGAGCCTGCTTTGGTACTATGGAACTGGACTGTGTGGACACGTCCTCCTCTTATAGCATCTGAGGCGTCCCGCATGGGATGTTTTCCAAGCGAGGTGCTCCACCCTTCTGGGGGCAGCCCCCCATCATGCTGAATTTGTCTTCCAGGAGCTGCCCCTATGGGGCGGGCCACAGCCCAGCCCTGTCTCTAGTCACATCATTGTCTGTAAGAAAGCCAGGGATACAGGTTTTCTTAATGATTTTGGGTTTAATTTTGTTTTTATTGCCCTGACAAGATACAGTTATCTGATGGTTCTTCAATTATGTTATTTTAATAAAATAAATTAAATTTAGGTTTAATGGCTACTAACTCCTTAAAAGGTAAATACTGCACTCACAGCATTGTTCAATCTCTCATGGAACAGAATTCAAGGAGTGTCTGTTCTTTATGAGCTTTGCAAGAATTACATGTAACAGTGAAGCAAAAAGCATTCTAAACACAGGTAAGACAACTACCCACAGTGAAAAGTAATGCACTTTATAAAATATTTGGTATCTACAGCGTTTTACAAAAATAAACTCAGGTTTAGAACAAGGTTGCTCTGACTTGCAAGATTATACACATTCTTCATTTAAAATAAAACAGACATGGCCTCAGTTCCCCTCAGGTAGGACTGACTCCTGGATCAGAACCATAAAGTTTGGTCCTGTGAATTTTTTACAAAATACCAGAGCAAAGTCTGACCTTACAGGTAAGAATGGATGGCTTCAGAATGACCATGTCTCCAGCTTTCAGATCCCTAGGTGGAAGCACACTGTGAGGGCTCCGGGCCTTGTGTACTTCCTGTACTATAAAGCCTCCCAAGCTAGACAAAGATCCCCTCTTAAATATCAGCTGTGTGTGTTGCTGCTGATTTGGGACACTGGAGGGAAGCCTGACTATCCTTATAGTAATGAGCCTAAAAGAGTCTATGCCACTGAAAGCAGGACTTACTCGACTGCATGTGCTAACATAAAGCGGCACATTAACCAAGGTTGACAACACTACACTAGAGACATTCACTACAGAGGAATTCTCCTAGAGGGCTGAGACTCCTTTGGGAAGAAAAACAGACCTGCTTTACAAGCAGCTAGCTGAAAGCTTACTGTTGCTTACGGAAAAAAAAGCCACAAAAGACAGGAGCCAGGTTTCTTTTAAAAGCAATGGATCAAAACAGCTGGACCGCTTAGCTGGTTCCCCCATGGGGGGCTGGAGGTACAACTAAGAGATCGGCTATAAAAGTAGTGATTCCATGTACTTGGGTTATTTTATACCCTTCACTCTTGCCAGGGCTGTAATTACGGAGCGTGAGGATGAGAAGACCAAGGGGAAGCACCACCCCGCTCACATCTGGGAACCACGCCTTCACTGGCCAGTGACAGACGCTTTCACATCCTGGCTTGGAGAGTCCAAAACGCAGGGGCCACCACTGACTCTAGGGTTCTGATGACTCTACTCCAGAAAGGTGCATGAAGAGGTCCCCAAGCTCTGTCATATCAACATCTTCAGTGTTGGGGACCTGCTGGGTTTCACGGTTCTCGATGAAATCCCAGAGCCGCACAGAGTTAAAGAACTGCAAAAACAGCCAACAAACATGCCTGGGTCAGTGGAGAAGGTGGTGGAAGCTGAACCAGCCAGTGCTTTGTTGTCAGAACCACCAGGGATAGCACCCAGAAATGCCCTCAGCATCCCTGACCAAGTCTTACCCTGACGGTGCCTTCAGAACTGAGCTGCTTCCGAGGTTTCTCTGGCTCTGCCAGCCGCCCATCGGGGTAAGCATGGCGGTAAAGACACTTGTTTCCAAAGGGGCAGGTCCCCTTGCCTTGCTCAAAATACTTACAAGCTTTTTTCCTGAAAAACACATACACAAGGGGGGAAAAAAAACCAGTGGGGAAATGACCTCCATGAGTTTGAAGCCAGCCAAGTCCACAAAGCAAGACCTTGCCTAAAAGCAAACCTGCACTTGTCTAGGCCCTATTCCCACATCACCTCCTCCAGCCCTGTCTGTCCACCTAACCAAAGCCAAAAGTGCTGGTTCAGCCACCTCCCTGTGTCCTCAGCATTAAACCAACTCAACTGAGCCGCTTCTGACAAAAACACCTCCCAAACCTACCTGATGCTCTGTGCCCACTGCCCTGTCACTAGGGTGCTACCTCTGCTGCCTACTTGCCAGTCAAGTATTCCTCAACTTCCTTCCTACCCCCACCAGTTTCCAGCCTCTTCACAGGACCACAGTGGAGCTGCCCACAAGGACCACTCAGATGTCCACCTGGCTTCTTTCCCCTCACTCCTCAGTGGACCCACACGCTTTCTCTTTCTGGCTTGGGTCACTAATGAAATCTGCCACCAAAAAAACCGTTAAAGTTGCCCATCTACACTGCTGTGAGCTTATCTCATGCATGTCCACATTCTTCATGGCACTGTCAGTACCACAGTGGGTGCCCAACTGCAGTAAGAACAGCCACCAAAGGGATGCACACAAAGCCAGGCCATTTCAGACTTCAGCACAGCTCCTCCCCAAGCTCAACCAGCTCTGCCTTGCTGTGTGTCTGTCCTCTTGTGGACACAAATCACATGACATGAGGGGAAAAAAAGGTAAAATGGGAAACTATCAAGCTTTAGTGCAACTGTTAGGCAAGAAAAAGGACTACTCTCCCTCTTCACCACCTCCTTGTTGTTTTGGTTGGCTGGTTTGTGGAGATTGGCAGGGGGGTTTCACTTTGTAGCTCAGGCTGGCTTCCTCCAGTGCCAAGATGCAGGCCCAAGCTGTGGAGCCTAGCTTTAAAGGAACCATCCTAAAAGACAATGTTAAGCGCCTGTGATCCCAGGACTTAGAAGGTGACATGGATCAGTAGTTCAAGGCCAGTCTTAGCAAGATAGAAATTTCATGGCTAGCCTGGGCTACATAAGACCCTGTCTTAAGAAAACTAAATAAATAAGCCAGGCATAGTGGCGCACGCCTTTAATCCCAGAACTCGGGAGGCAGAGGCAGGCGGATCTCTGTGAGTTCCAGGACAGCTGAGGCAAAACAACAACAGAGAATCAAGACAAGAAGTAACGCAATTAATAGATGGGCTGCCGGTCGTGGTGGTGCATGCCTTAATCCCAGTACTCAGGAGGCAGAGGCAGGCGGATCTCTGTGAGTTCCAGGACAGCTGAGGCTACAGGGAGACCCTGTCTCAAAAAGACCAAAAAAGAAAACTAAATAAATGGTAACATAGTTCCACTTTTAGTACAACAGCCAAGACTGAATCCTCTCAAGTCTATTGTTATTGGTAACAATAATCAAGTCTTTCAAAAAGACCCTTAGTCAGTGGAGAAGGAACCAAAGCAGGAAGACTACAGGGAGACCCTGTCTCAAAAAGACCAAAAAAGAAAACTAAAAGCAACAAAAACCCAGCTCTTGGAGGCAGGAGGATCATGAATGAGTTCAATGGGTGACATGAGACTTTCACAATAACAAAAACCAACCAAAACAACAACAAACCCCAAAAGGCAAAAGCTGAAAGAAGTCCCTAGAGAAGGTCCTGAGCCACATACCAACATAGGCTCAAAGAAACTAACCCAGGAGTCTGGAACAGCCATTCAATGAGGTCAGATTTATCCACCCATTAAGAGCATTGACACAGATGAACCTAACAGAGTCCAGGGATCTCTACAAAGCAACATTTACAATGTGGAGGATTCTGAGGACTCTGGACGTAACCAGGATGAGGGGTTAGTGAGATGGCTCAGTGGTTAAGAACACTGGCTGCTCTTGCAGAGACCGGGATTCAAATCCCAGCACCCATAACTGCCTGTAATTCCAGTTCCAACACCCTCTTATGGCTTTCACAAGCTCTGCATACATACCATATATGTAGGCAAAACATACACATAAAATACAACAAAGCTGTATGTAAAAGTAGAATTTTAAAAATAATAGAGCTGGGTGTGATGGTGCACACCTTTAATCCCAGCTCTGTGAGTTTGAGGCCAGCCTTGTCTACCTAGTGAGTTCCAGGATAGCTGGGGCTACAGGGAGACCCTGTTTCAAAAAGCCAACAAAAAGAAAATAGAATAGCTAAACCTTGGCATCAGAACAGGCATCCATCAGCAGGAGTGGGTGAGCTGTGTTGAGCAAGCAGCCCTAGCTCACTATGGTTCTCGTAGGTGTGCCTTCCATGTGTAGTGACCAGAAAAGCAGCCCCCTGAGACAGGCCAAAAGCCTAAGCCTGGACCTGTGTACATGACCCAAGTTGAAGAAATGGCCTTGTAGCTATCACTAAAAGTTCCACGGGAAATCCTCATGGAAAATGAGCAAGTCCTAGAAATGATGCTCTCACCTTGAAGGAGGTGAGGGAGAGAGCCAGGAGAGGGCTAGAGGGATGTTGCCACAGCCCAGAACCACCAAGAACCACCAGTAGCATCCTCAGAGCAAAGTTCAGCACAGGCTTGCTTGGAGTCTCCAGAAGGAGCCACTGACCTGCCACACCACCTTTCTAGACATCCAGAATTATGAGAAAATTTCTAGGAAACACATACCATAGTTTCAAACAAAACTCCTCCCACAAGACAGCTCAGGTTTCAGTTAGCACCACATTAACCAGGGGGTGGGGGAGCTGTATGCAGCCCAATGTGGCTGTCAGCTGTACAACCTGTACACACCAGTGCTCACAACTGGCTCATCAAGCCCCTTCCCTCAGCTGCTAATGATGGTCACAATGACACCCTACACAGCTATGCTGCCTCTTTGTGTCATGGACGGGGATAAGCCCATGGGCATTTTATAAAGACGGTATGTTAGGGAGTAAATGGAGCGAATACAGGTGAAAAGTGCAGCACAAGAGTGAAAAAGCAGCACTAGAGGGCAGCTCTGGCTCCTCCCACACACGACACACCATGTCACCCTCAGACCATCAGTGGTGCTTCAGGCACCAGGACTGGACACCTCGTTACCTCCACTCCTACCCAGTTCAAGGTGCCACCATGTCCAGTCTCTGCCTTCTCTTCCGGTATACTGTCTACAAGTCAGCCAGAGTGACCTCTGCAGAGGACAACCTTGAGTATGGGTCCTCATCTTCAACCCTGTTGCCCCTTGGATCATGTTAGTACCACTAGGCCCTACCAGGGCGTCCTACCTCATTCAGAACAACAAATCCCTTCTGTCTGGTGACCTACAAAGCCCCCCAAGTCTGCCTGGCAGTCAGCTTCTCCTTGATTCTCCAAACAAGCCAGGCACACTTGGTCTCAGGATCTTACCAATGGCCATTACCTCCATCTAGAATGTTCCTCTCACACTGTTATAGTTTCTTACCTCATCAACTCCTTTTCTCAGAGGGGCTCTTCTCACTGAAGCACTTTGAGGTCCCTCAGTCTCTCCTCACCTCCATTTAACAACCTTTCTCTCTTTTTTTTGAGGCGGTTCTTTTTGAAACGGTCTCCCTGTAGCCTCAGCTGGCCTGGAACTTGATATGTAAACCAGGCTGACCTTGAACTCAGAGATCTGCCTGCCTCTGCCTCCCACCATACCTGGCTTTTTTATTTTTCTAATGTGTATACCTGTATGATGTGAATACCTGTGTGAATGAAGGTGCATACTTCCATGTTTAATGTATGGAGATCAGAAGACAACCCTGAGTATGGGTCCTCATCTTCAACCTTGTTTGAGGCAGGGTCTCTGCTATTCGCTGCCTGCATACAAGGTTCTGAAGATTCTCTGTCTCTACCTCCCAGGGTGGGGTTAAAGATGTGTTACATGTTACATGGGTTCTTGGGATTTGAACTCTGGACCTCACACTTGCATTTCACACACTGAGACATCTTCTCAGTCCACCATTTAACAGTGCCTGCCTTATTTACCCAATTACTATGCCTGTCACTAGAATGTGAGCTTTCTTGGATGCTGTATACTCTACACTGGATAAGGCCTGTGAGATGGCAGATCCTCAACAGGTACTTGTTGCTAAGCCAACCTCAGCAACAGATACTAGGTTCCTAAGCAGACACCGCTCACTGGAGAAACTCACCTGCTTCTCTAAAGCCTTACCCACCTCTGCAGCCCAGCAAGGTGCCTGACAGAAACAAGAGGCTGGGAGCCTTCAGGCCCATATCCTTGGGAAGACTAAAGACAGGGGCAGAGGTACAAACCACACAGCCAGGTGGCACCAGAATCTTGTAGGAAATCAAGGTACTTACCCCATTCCCTGTTTAAAAGCTTCAATCAACTCATTCTTTTTATTCTGGTCTTCTACCCAATACACACTTGGAATTACAAATTCTGATATCACACGGCATTCTGGACAAGACCTGAAAAAGCAAAGGGGTTAGTAAAAGAGAAAATGTCATGAATCTGTGTACATTTCACCCTAAACCTCTCTTCAAACACTTGGCCAAAGATGTAACTACTATTACCTAAGAGATTAATCTACTGCTAAAAACAGGGTCAATTCAACAATGAGACAACAGATGACCTAAATAAGACTTGAGGTCCTCTTCTAGAGCCAATAAGCTCACCAGACAATGCTCATTATCACTGGTTATCAACGAAACACAAATCAAAACAGGCTCCCACTGGAACTGAAGACAAGTGTTGGAAAGAGTGTAAAGAAACCGGAATCCTCACGGTCTTGCTGGCAGGAGTAGGAAATGGCCTAGCCATGCTTCAGTTAGACACAGAGCTACCCTGTGAGCCAGCCATGCCACTCCTGGGAATGTATCTGGGAGACCTGAAACTATGTCCACAGACTCAGACACAAGGGCTCACAGCAGCATCACTAACTGCTCAGCAGAGACAACCTGAAAGCTCACCAGCTGGGGGAGGTGACATGTTATGCTCTGTCCATTCTGTGGCATCCTGTTCACCCGGAAAGAAAGTGCTGAGCTCACTGCAACAGGAAAGGTCCTGAAAACATTTGCTAAGGCAAAGGATTAACTGGCAAAGGCAATATGACGAGATCCTGTCTCTATGAAAGAGAAGTAGTGCATGTATGAGAAAGAGCCTAGTTAGAGGCTACCTGACTAGAGGGCAGCAGGGACAGGCAGAGATGGCAGTTCAGAGTCAAGGTGTCTTTATGGCATGACAAAATGTTCTAAAATTAAATTAAGTGATGGTTGCACCACTCTGTAAACACTGGACACACTAAATTGACCTTTCCTCTCAATGAAGCTGCTGAACACAATCATAGGCCTTTGGGCAAGTTACCTGACATATGCACAGGAAGCAGAGGCAACTTTCACATGCATTATCCAAGGGTCACCCGGAACCCCTTTATTTAAGGTGGAAAAAAAATGGACCACCAAGAGGTTACAAGGCAGCTGGGCTAAAGCAGACACCAGTGACTGTCAGCACTGAACTCACGCTCAGGTCTTCAGATAGAAACGACCAACAACTAATCCTTTGCCCATGACGTCTGCAGAATCCCCCAGCACCCTGAGAGCGTGAGAGGAAGACAAGATGTTCTAGTTTGCTTCTCTGTTGCTGTGATAAAACGCTGAGCAAAACCAACAAGGAAAGGGTTTATCTGGCTTACAGCTCATAGTCCATCCTTGAAGGAACCCAGGGCAGGAACTAAAGCACAGACCATGGAGGACTGCTGCTTGCTGCCACTGGCTTGCTCTGCTACTTTTCTTATACAGCCCAGCCTACCTGCCCAGGGATGGCACTACCCACAATGGGCTGGGCCCTCCTACATCAACAGCAATCAAGAAAACACTCCACAGATATGCCCTCAGGCTAATCTGATGGAGGAAATTCCTCAAGTGAGGTTCCCTCTTCCTGTGTCTAGTTTGTGTCAAATTGACAAAAAGCACACTATGCATTTGGGCTCTGGAAGGGTAAATGACTTGTGCAAGTTCGCAGAATCAAGGCCCAGACTCCTCAGTTATCCCACATTAAAGCTCCTCTGGAGGCAGAGAAAGGATAAGAGATGGAAGAAGGTTCCAGATCAACAGTTCCCCAAAGCAAAGCCCCAGGTGCACTCACTTGATGATTGGGTTTTCAAACTGCTTGGCACATCTCCACTGACGGATACAGGCAAGGCAGTAGGTGTGGTTGCAGTTGGAGAGAATCCCGAACCTCCTCTCAGAAGCAGATGCCTTCTCCAGGATCACCTCCATACAGATGCTGCACACCTTGTCCTGGCTTGCCTGGAAGGCAAAGGCCTTTTCCATCTCAAGTTCAAATGTTGACATGCACATCTGCAGGGGACAGGGAGGAAAACCTTAGCCATGCAATCACTGCAGCTGAAAGCAGTACCCACGGCCCCCAGATTCTAGACACAAAGATCTCTGACTACAATGTGGATCTCAAGCCACCCAGTCCCTGTCCCTTGTTCCCTAGTAGGATATGGTCACTTCTAACTTGAGGAGCCAGCCATAGAGGCCTAGACCAATTAAGATGCTGTGGGCTGCAGAGCTAATAACACTGGAACCCTGGTCTCCTTTCTGCACAGAAATGAGGACTATCTATGACTGGGAGGCCAGCACTATAGTCCCTCCAGGGAAGAGGACAGGAGTTCACGCGCTCACTAACGTGCTGAGCTCCTCTTCTATGCTTCATTCAAATGAATGCAAAGAGCACGAAGACTCTCAAGAGTTCTGGGCATCAAGCACAAAGCCCTGCACCTAGATGGAGGGAGGACTGGATTCCATGCCACATAGCTTCCTGCCCCACTGCTCCAAGGAGACTGCACTGCCAGGAATGCTGCCTGGTGTCATATGTGTCCTTGAAGCCCTCCTGAAGACACAGACCTTCTGTTAGAAGAGGCCACCACATCATTACCAAGTCCTCACATGAGGTAACCTGGTCTCCAACACTTTATCCCTAAGTTTCTCCCGATCTCTCTGTCTTCATACTCCAGAGGAAATGAGCGTACAGATTACTGAAAGGCATAGCATCCAGACACCATGGGCACTCATAACCTAACAGGTCTTTTTCAACACTTGGCTCTTAAGAATCCAAAAGAACAGAGGCTAGAGAGATGGCTCAGTGGTTAAGAGAGCTTGCTGCTCTTCCAGAGGACCAAGTTTAGTTCCCAGCACCCACACTGAGTGGCTCACAATCACCTGTGACTCCAGCTCTAGAGGATGTGACACCCTTTTTTGGCCTCCATATGTACCTGCACATATGTGCACAGACACAAACACAAATACACAATCTTTTTTTAAAAAAGTCCATGATAAAAGCTCCTCAAAGCTTCCAAAACACTGTTTGCCTGAATCTCAACCACAGAGACATGTAAACCTAGGAGGGAAGATGTAGTGTGTGTGTGTGTGTGTGTGTGTGTGTGTGTGAAGCAGGCACAGGCACATGTGTGCTCGAGTTGGAGCTGTTCTCTTTTAATTTCTTTTCAATTTTAAAGATTTATTTATTTATATGTATGTATGTATCAGTCAGTGTATGTGGGGTCTCTCCCTTTCCTCGTGGGTCATTGGCCACCGGTCCACGAGGACAAAGGGAGCAGAAGTGACAAACAGGGTCAGGATGGCCAGTGAGCACTGACAGAAGAAAGCCCTTCTGGGGAAGCAGGTTCAGTGATACAAACAGCTTCAGACTCAGTGAAACAGCTCCGTTTATTCAGTGGGGGTTAGGAAAAATACAGTGTGGAGGCAGCAGCCAATGCTACAGCTGATAGGTGCTCATAGTATGCTTTATTTACATGTGGCAGTAGGCTCCTATCATGACTATGGGGCAATGCCTAATTATCATATAGAAAAAACCTGGGGGTAGTTTTTACTCCAGGTAACTATGCCAAAGGTCATGTTCCAAATAAGGTCAGGCATCCGTGCTGCCGGCACTTTCCAGGTAAGTCAGGCAGAGAGCAGGAGGCCCCCTGCTGAGAAGGGGAGTCCTTCCATATAGCACTGTCCAGACATGGAAGACTACAACCCCAGCAGCAGGGTTCCCCAACAAGTGTACATGCACGTGTGTGTTCGTGGAGGTAGAAGAGGGCGTTGGATTCCCTAAAACTGGTATTACAGGCAGTTGTGATATGTACAACATAGGTGCTGGGAATTGAATTCTAGTCCTCTGCAAGAACAGCAAGTGCTCTTAACTACTGAACCATCTCTCCAACCCTGAACTTCGCATTTCTAAGATCTTTTATTTTCCTTTGTTCTGAATAAAACTCAATAAAATGGAAAAAAAAGAACCTGAAAATAGGATGTAAATAAGGTAGGTATGCAACATAGGCATTCCTAGCAGAAAGACAGCTGTGAGAAAACCAACGATTCTTTTTTGTGGTACATTGCAGATTTCTTAAAAGGAGTTCATGCATGGCAAGGTTTGCAAAATTACCTTCTCATGAGCTTTCCTTTGCTCTGGGTCAAAGGGGTGCAGGACTTGCAGCCTACAGATCTCACACATGTCCCCATGCAGGTAGACACAGGCATCTCCAAACCGGCACTCCCCAGCAGCAGCATAGGGGCACAACTGCTGCTCACTGCTGTAGGAGCTGCTGGCTTCCAGGTCATCCAAGCCACTCCGGATGGCATCGAGGTAGGAATGGGGCTTCATCTCTGGGCTAGTCTGGGGGTCACTGCAGCCACCTGGATTATTTACTGTGCTTGGGGGAGTCTTGTCTTCAGCCAGGCCAGTGAGATCTTAACACAAAATACACAGTAGACACACACAGGTAAGAACTGGCCCAATACTCAGGTTAGCCACTAGGCAAGACCACAGAACAGGATCTATGTACACAAGAGAACCCTGAACATGAACATGAAGATGTCCATACATAGACCATCTGACCCTACACCACCCCTAAACAGAAAGGATATCTGGAACAAAGCCAGCAAAAAGAATACTGTGGTCCCTTGTACCAGTGATGCCCGTAAGGTCCACATCGGAGTGCAGTGCCAATCTTGGGGCCTGGAGCTGGCAGGAAGTTGCCCATGCGGCCCACCCCAAGAGGAGTCTCCCTATCACTTGCTGCTGAGAGTGTCAGAGGTAACCTGGTACAAAGGTTGATTATGCGTTTGCTGAGGGTAGAATCTGCCTATCCTGAGGGCCACAGCCCCTCATGTGGTGGGGACCAGTGCCACAGCATTTACCACCACCTGGCACCTTCTTCCTCCTCAAACCTTGTCTCAGCCTAGACCCTTTCCTTGCACTGTGTCTAAAGGTACTTCCTAAAATCCCGAAGTAGTTACTGATGAGGACACAGTGCCAAACTAAAACTCAAACAGCGACACCTGCTCTCTATCAAAACAGCTTTGAAATGAATGGCCTGCTGCTTCTCACCAGTGGGTGACCCTATGAAGAAGGCAATTTCACAGTAACAAAAAACCACTCTGATGCTTTGCTGGGCTGAAAATGGGGCTCGGCACAGCTGTGGGGATGTGCCACCTGAACCTCTACAGCTGCAGAAACCTGTTCTCAGATTAGCACTGGGATGCAGGGCGTTAGCTAGAAGCTTCCTGACAAGGAGACCAGAAAATAGCACCACGTAAAGCACACTGCTTCCTCATCATCCACTCACTGCGGTCTCGGAGCACTAGCGTCTTCTTTTCCCGCTTCCCTGGTTCATGCAAGTGGGTCCTCATGACCGATGTGGCCAAGTCAGAAGGGTGAGGACTGTGCAAGCTGGGGGAGGGCACAGGGCCCACAGCTCCACCTGCTGCAGACGGGGGCTTTGTGTGATCATATCTGAACAAAATAGAGATGTGTCATGGCCATGCACCCGCCCCCACTACCAGTATCCCCCACATCCCGTACACCTTCTGCAGCCCTTACTGCTTACACCCCCACATTCCCCACACCACTGCATCTCTCACATACCACACATACCACCTACACCCTAGTCACCAATAGCCAGCACCTCTGCTTGACTGAGGTGACAACAGACTGTCTTTTTGTACTTTCTACTAGAAAAGGCTATAAAGGCAGTGTAATCTGCCACCTATACTCACATCTATGTGTCTCTGTGGGACAGATGGGGACTGATTCACTGCCCAGACCACCCAAAGAGAGCCTGAAGTGTCTCTAGGTGCTGAGAACCCCCAATGCCTGTGCACCAGTGGTCTTTGGGCAGGTGTTTCCAGGACCTCCTGGGAGGGGTAGCAAGTGGCTGACTCAAGCCCTAGTGCTCTTCTATCCAGCAAAAAACCAGATCAGCTCTACCAAAGTACGCAGTTTCTTACAACATTCTCCAGTCTGGAAATAACAAGACTTGCAAAGGATTTGCATAAATGCTCACTGAAGGGGTGCTTAAACCACAAACCAGAGCCTACGGAAGTACAGGGAAACTTTATGAAACAAAATCACGGTGGGGAGGTAAACTCATGGCAGTGGAGAAGTTTAGGATGTATTGAATGAGGTAAAAAACAAGACACAAAGTTGTACCAATATTATAAGGGCAATTTTAAACAACATTTCCCTACATCAAGACTGATTCTCAACTAGGCATGATGGTATGCACATAAACACACCTGTATTTCCATCACTGGGGGTGGGAGCTGGAGTGGAGGAAGGAGGGTCAGGAGTTCAAATTCAGCCTTAGCTACATATTTGGTGACATCTGAGTGACTTGATACCCCATTAACACAACACAACAACCCATTCTCTACACACAGCTAGTCCACCAGCCACAGCTGCAGCGGCCTTGCCTGCACCGTGTGCCATAGGCACAATAGCCCTTCTGGTAGTATTTGCAGATGGTGGATGGCTTGCTGTTCGCCAAGTCATGTGAGAACAGGCACTGGCTGCCTTCCCGACATACACCGTGCATGAAGTACCTGAGGAGACAAGTAGAGCACAGCTTTGAGAATCACACCTAGCTGTAGGAAATCAGCACGTGCTGGAGCTTAGCATATAAACATTTACCAAGCGGAAACTATGTGTCAAGATCCTACTGCACATTGTAGCTACAGGTTTTCCTTGACTCAAAACTAAATGAGTTTAGATGCACCACAATAAGTAGCTTTTTCTGCAGAAAAATACACGATCTCAAAAGTTTCTGTGACTTGATGTAGGCCGGGTGTGGTGGCACACGCCTTTAGTCCCAGCACTTGGGAGACAGAGGCAGGTGGATCACTGTGAGTTCAAGGCCAGCTGGGGCTACAGGGAGACCCTGTCTCAAAAAAAGAAAAAAAAAAGTTTAAGATGTGAGCCTCATTACTGAGAAAACGCTTGAGGAACACCTACTGCCCACTCTGCCAGAGCTGCTGAAGGATAACTGTAACGAAACCAGAGTCCTGGGCTCAGGCCAGGTCACCAAACCCTCTTTCCTGTCCTGCTACTTGAAGATGACACCACCTACTGCTTTACTAGGCTGCTGCAGTCAGTGAGCCTCAAGTAAGACAATGTGGCATCAAAAGACAGAGGACCCAGGCAGGGTGGCACCAGCTGCACTCCTAGCACTCTGAGGAGGCTATGGCTGTGATGCTGTTGGTAGAATTTGTATAGCATGCTTCAAGTGAAGCCTGGTGTTCCATCCCCAGCACAGAATAAACCAGGTATGATATGGCACACCTGTAATCCCAGCACTCGGGAGATGGAGGCGGGAGGATCAGAAATTTAAGGCCACCTTTGGCCACACAGCAATTTTGGCATATGCGAGACCCTGACAGACTGGGGGCGGGGGGGGGGGCAGCCAGCACTCTGCACTCTGGAGGTGGAAGCAAGAGGATAGCTTGGGCTACATAGCGAGACATCTCAAAACAAATTCACACACACTGCTAGGCATTTTGGCACATGCCTTTAATCCCAGCGCATGTGGATCTGTGTGTGTTCTAGACCAGCCAGGGCTACACAATGCATACACACACACACACACACACACACACACACACACACACAGACCTGTCAAATCATGGACTTGAAGGAATAATTAGTGTGAAGTAGCGGGGGTGGGGTGTGGAGCAGTGGAGAGAGCTGGCTGAAGACTCAGAACAAACAGTAGAGACCCTGGAGAGATCAGCTGACCAGGCCTAGGGCAGCAAGTACCCGAGACTGACGTTATCTGAGCTTAGAACTCAGCCATATGGGATTAGGCTGACAGCAAGTCACTCAACCACTGCCAGCAAAACAAACCTCAGAAGACAGTGAGATTTTCACTGGTTTTGGCATCCAATGAAAACATTACTAAATATGCTCAAATACAGGAGTGCGACCAATCACCACAAGAAAAGCAGGAAGGCAGACATGATAGATGATGGAGTCGGCACACAAGGACCCAGAAAGCTGTCTTCACTGTGCTCAACACACCAAGGCATTATAGGAAAACAGCAGAACCTAAGAGCAGAGACATCAGAAGAGCCCAATGGAACTTCTGGAAAAGACAAATGCAGCATGTGCAATGAAACTTAAATTGGTTGAGCTTAGCAGATAACAAAAGACAAAAAACATGACAACAGAAAAGCATCACAACAAAACAGGGAGGCAGAGCGCTGTCTCTGCTAAGGGGTGGAAGGCCTCCCTGACTGCTGCAGAAAGCTAGAAAACAGAAAATGCCATTAATCAGCTGCTTTCAGACGGGAACAAAGGCCACAAGGCCAGGCCTGGAAAGGAGGAGTGCTTAGAAGTAGTCAGCTCTGCTTGACTTTCCACCTGGGCACATTCTGGGCCTCAGAGCACACAGGGAACCTAGGTGATGCACAGTGTCTTGCTGAAAGCAGGCTTACAGAGGCTAAGGGTAGCTCTCATGAGGACCCCACATTGGTGACAGCTGTCTTCTGATGATGGTATCGGTGTGGAACCAATATGTAACTGCAAAAATTTTAACTGAAACACCATGTTGACTGACATGCCTGGCACAAAACTCACAACATAACCCGTGGTGCATTTTAGCTGAAACATTTAAGAACTTTCTGGAAATGCAGGAAATTGTTGTAAATAGAGAAGCCAGGCCTGTAACAGTCAGTCTGAAAACAAGAGCAGCTTCTCATAAATCTACCACAAGACTTAACAATTCCACTCCCCAGTGTCACCCAAGAAAACAAAAACAAACGTCTGCATACAGACTATGACGTGGTATGCACAGCAGCACTATGCACAGCAGCTTGAAAAGGAGAGCTACGGCAATGTGCATCAACTGAAAAGAACAAAATGTAGCACGCACTTCCCACTAAGTGAAGGAGTCACATACAGCCTGCACCGCTGGGTTCCATTCCTACCGCTGTTCTAAAAAGGCAAACTACACGACCAGAAAGCAGACTGGGGCTATGAGAAAGGAAGCCAGGGAATGCCTGGGCACAAGGGGTTGCTATAAGGGTAATGGACATGCATTCAAACTTAACTGCAATTAGAGCACTAAAAATCTTTCACACACACACACCTTTAATCCTAGCACTCAGAAGGCAGAGGCAAGCCAATATGTGAGTTCAAGACCAGTCAGGGCTACATGGCAAGACTCTGTCTCAAAAATTTTTTTTACAAAAATCTCTAGACATTTCTAACATGCCAAGTTTTTTATAAGTTATACCTCAATAAACCTGTTAAAAAAAAAAAAAAAGGAAGGCTAGCAGGCAGAAACAGGTGTATGGTGACCAGGTGTAGTATTTATACGTGGATTGTAATCTGGTTTCCACAAATCTGAGGTAAAAGACATTCTCTGAAACAACCAGTGAAATTGAGTACAGACCACATTACTAGGTAAACTGAGAGTTTATTGGGGCTGAGGATGTAGCCTAGCCAGTAGAGTGCTCATTTAGTATGCACAAGGCACATCAGTCAGATGCATGGGTACATGCACAACTGCAATGCAGCACTCAGGAGGTGGAACAGGAGTTTAAGATCACCTTGGCTACATGGGGAGTTCAGGGCCGGCCTGGGCTACACTGAGACTGTTTTCAACCCTCTCCCACCCACTCCCCAAATATAGAAAATTTACTTACATAGAAAATTGAAGACGATGGAAAAGAGCAGATTGTAAAACAAGATAAAGTGATATTGTGGTAATGACTCATGGACATATTCTGGACAAATGACTTCTACTTAACCTTGCAATCACAAAGGTAATTTTAGTTTGTACATAATGTAGACAAGCTCACTGAGCCTTGGACTCCTCTTGTGAACTAGGAATACAGCCTTAATCCCTCATGACCCTTCCTTGCTTTGGCCCAGAATAAGTATGTATGTGTGTATGTTTTGCATATCAATCACACAACTGCTACAAACAGCAATTCTTGTTGCAAGCAACAAAGATTATCCCATTTATATAGCAAACAATAGATAGATTAAACTGATAAGTCTGTGGTTGTGAGGGGTCAGAAGGGATATAATCTTCTGGTAATGGTCCACTTTTCATTCCCCATTTCATGCTGCTTTCATATCAGTTGAGTAACGAGTGAACCCTTGTTCTGAGCACAGTTCCTACAGAATTCTGATGGAACAGGTTCTCAGAACAGTTTGGGTCCCTGTTGTCTAAAATGGATGGTAAGAGTCAGGTTGTCTTTATTCAAACATCACTATAATATGGCATCACACTGTAACTGCTGCATGATACAAGCTGTAATTTTTGTAATTCACATATTTACAAATGTAATTCTTGTACTTGAGAGGTAGAAGCAGGAGGACTAGGAGTTCAAGGTCCTCCTCAGTTATATATGGGTTCAAGGCCAGCCTGGGTTACATGAAAACTTGGCTCATTTCCTATATATGTTATATATAATATTTTATATATATTTATACATTATATATAACGAGCCAAGTTTTCATATACACACACATATACCACACATACATATTATAAAACTACTAAAAGCTACTATGATAAACAGAATGCTGGCTTATCAAAAAGTTAAAAATAGATCTATAATATGATCCAGCAGTTTTACTTTTGTGTTTACAAACAAAACAGAAAGGAAGGTGTGCTCATTCGTTTTTGACAATTTGACACAGACCTAGACATACCTGGGAAAAGGGAAATGCCTCCATCAGTTTGGTCTGTGGCCATGTCTGTAAGGCATTTTCTTAACTAATAATTAATGTGGGAGGGCTGGGTCCTCTCCAGCCCAGTCCACTGTGGGCAGTGCCACTCCTGGGCAGGTGGGCCTGGGGTGTATAAGAAAGGTAGCTGAGCAAGCCAGGGGAGCAGGCCAGTAAGCAACATAAGCCAGCCACAAAAGATGAATTCTGTACACCAGCTATGTGAGGTACCTAGGGTACTTAAGTGCCCAGACACAAAGTAGAAGCGGGGGGTGGGCTGTTGACTGTTAAGGTGGAGAGAATGAAGTTTGGGCACAGCATTTTAGTTTCAAAAGGCATAGTTCTGGAGATCTGTTTACCTAACAAGGCAGATGTTCCCAACAGAGAATTATGAACTTAAAGGTGGTTAGTGTGATAAAGTTTATGTTATAAGAGATTTCATCACAATAAAATATTCTTCTAAAACTGGCATATACAATCTCTCATTTCAGTAAAATATCATAAATATATATTACACCAGTGTCTTAGAAGTGGCTTGGCAATCCATCAAAGCAGAAGTAAAACTGTGTAGTAGAGACGGGGGATGATGGGAGGGGAAGGGTTAAAAGGAGGGTGGGATAAGAGGGGAGTAAGCACAACACGCAGTGCACACGCATGACAGCTTAGGAAAGCAGTGCCCATCCGAGGTGAGGTGCCGGCCAGGCAGGTGTTCTCCACTGGTCATGCCCTCAGTCCCTGGTGCAAGCATCCTTCCTTTCTTGTTTTGACTGCTCTGTCCTTTCAAACATTTCTACAGTGAACATGCCTGAAGGAGACAGTAAAATGGTCCCTTCACCAACAGTACAGGAAACCTGGCCAGGAAACTTTT